TTATAACTATATTCTTACTATACTTCTTTTATAAGTTTTTCTAGCGTTAGTAAGTCTAAAGCTAATCTTATTACTAGTTATATTACTTTACTACTTTACTAAAGCTTAATTAAGCTTTTTATTATTAATTAATTTTTTTTTTTTTAAACATATTACTACTTTTATAAGTTTTTTTAAAGTTATTATTTTAAAAGCTATTATAAAGGCTATTATAAACTACTATATTTATACTATACTAAAAACTATTATAAGCGCTCTAAAGAGCTACTTTACTAGTACTTTAAAGCTATATACTAAGCTTATTAATATTTCTATTACTTTTATTTTTATTACTTTTATTTTTATTATCTTTACTATATATATAGTTAGCGTAAAACTTTCTATTATTTTTTTTTCTATTCTTACTTTTAAAAAGCTTATTAGTAAGATATATAAGCTTTTTAGTAGTTATAGTTTTTTATTTAAAAAAAAAATAAAATAAAAAAACTATTTTATTAACTATTTTACTAAGAGAATACTTTTAATTAATTATACTATTACTATTTATAACTAAGTATATAAAGTAAAAAGTAAAGTAATACTACTTTTTTCTTTAGCTTTATAAAAAGCTATACTTTAATAAAGAAATACTTTAGCTAAAATACTTTATAAAAGTAATAAAAGCTAGTATAGTAAGAATATAGTATTTATAGATTACTTTATATAGTAAGATACTATTTATTAAATAGTAGCTATAATAGACTACTATAACTTCTATTAAAATCTAGAAAAATAGTTATTATATTATAGTTATTAGAGAATAAATACTATAAGACTTAGTATAGTATTTTTATTACTACTATATTATTTTAGTAGTTTTTAACTACTATATAAACTACTTAGAAGTATATAAATATATATAGTTATAGTTTATATAAGTATTAGTACTAATAGTAATATACACTAAATATTTTAAAATTTTAAAATTTTTTAGCTATTCTAAGATAGTAGCTAAGCTTTTTTTAATATCTTTTTACTAAATAGAGTTTATAAAATTAGGTATAAGGTACTGCTTTTATAACTATACTTTTAATTAGCTTTTTTTTCTTTTAGCTCTTTAGCTACTATAGTTTAATATATAACTTAAATTAATCTAAATCTCTACTACGTCTTAGCTACTTAACTTATACTTGCTACACCTACGCTTTCTGTCCTGTTTAAAGCTGCTACAATCGCGCTTACTACCTCTTCTTAGACACGTGATAGTAATGTTTGCGCAGGCGGGCGGGATTATGTACGAGTGCGATGGCGTTCGAGGCTGAGCACCTGGATGTATGGAAGATGTGGCATGCAGCTGTCACTCCACATCTCCAAGTCCTTTAGCGAAATCTACCTAGCTGTCTAGCTATGTTGCTGCGACGGTGGACGCGTAGCTACCTTCGCTTCCCAATGGCTCGCAACACCACGAGGCTCGCGCATCGTGCTTCGGCACCCCACGGAACACAGCCCTGGAGTCATCAAGCAGCTGCAGCATCTTGGGTAACAAGCACACGCCGACAATTCGTGTGCGAGGCGACCATCATATACGCCTTCAGGGCTTGACTCCATCTCCGGTAGTAAACCTCGTATCGCTCAATCTAACAACTACCGCACATACAGCTCCCAGAGTCAGCGCCTCCCGCACACTTCCCAAACGGGAAAGCCCTCCATAAACCATCGATTCCTGTCAACGGCTGCCAGACTCCGGCCCGTGGTACCCTCTCCCCGCCCATCCAACGGTCAAAATCTACCGCAAGAGGCAAGGAAACAAGAAAACCATCGATGATAGTAGATCCCGCTATCGGGAAAAGATCCACGAACCAGAAGAAGACAGCCTTGGATCGAACAGCCGGGTCTGGAAGCAAGAGAGTCTGGTTAAGGGGTTGGAGGAGTTTGGTAGCGAGGCAGTCATAGATGCCGAGATGGGAAAGAATGAAGGAAGCTTGGAAAGGTGTGGATGACGGCGGGCGACTGGACACGTCGCCGAAAAAGCAAAAGAGGTCGAGAGCTGACCTCGGGAGTCTGGGTCGAAGATGTCACGCGACGTACATGAATGTTGAACTGCGAAGTGAGACGTATCTTGACGGAGAGCAATGCGTCCAACGCATACGACGCCTTTGTTGCAAATGGGCACGATGGACTAGCAAAACCCGAGTCGCGCATCCATGTCCAGGGCGTTCCAGCATACAGAACACGCAGATGATGGACACAGCGCATCCCGCATTCTGTTCTACTTCCAAAGACCTCCGCCTCCCTCCCATCCCGCGCAAACACTCCGAACCTTGGACCCATCTCCTAATCCCAAATACCTCACTCCCCACGCCCCCTACCAAACAACCAAACTACCGAAACAGGAAATTCCCCATCCCCATAGATTCCAGAAGGCTTGAGGAGAATTACTCGCCTATGCACTAAGTAAGACAAGGCTGAAGACTGTTCCAGACGTTGCAAGTACCATCAAACTTACTCCGACACCAAACAGCCCGAATTAGGCAATACGACAATTCAACTGTAGATTTCAGTTCAGGCGTCCCACCTGCGAGAGTTTGGAGCTTGCAAATATTTAAATTTGTTTTGGGTTTTGAGTTTGGTTTTTCGGGGTCAGATCATGGTCCGCCCGGTCGTGCCAGCGCAGTGCTGCGGTACCAGAGCGCGTACCAAAGTATGTTTTCAAAGATGTTCCCGAAAGGGTAATTCAGAGTCGAAGTGTTGATTCCAGATGTGGAATGTGGCTTGATGTGTGAAGAAGTAAGAAGAGGGCTCTGCTCCTTTGATAGGTTTGTGGTTTCTTTTCTAGGGCGGACGGTCGATGTGTTGGGCGTTCGTGTGCCTGAATAGGAAGGAGGAGGGAAAGTATGGATTCCGGGCATGAATCGCGTGTGGTTTCTCTGGAAGATTGGATGGGCGTGCGCTGTATTGCGGATGTGCTCGGACTGGTTTGAAATGTAGATATGGGGTTCTTGGAGCGCGGCGTGGATGTGGTCCGCTTGTGGAGTTGGTGGGCGAAACATGAGCGTGGAGACGCGAGGTTTACGAGAAAACAGAGGCTTTTACATTTGTCTAGTACGTGCTTACTGCTATCGTGTATAACGAACGATAAAGCGACGAGCCTGATCGGAATTGTTGCAGCGAGCAACAGCCTAGACAACTTAATCCTCAAGTGTTTATACATCGGCTTGTGATTTCTTTTGCGCTCTTTTGCGCTTAAGACCTCTTTTTTGATTTCGTTGGACTGCCATGAAGACTACTCTGTGTTTATCACTAGTGGGTTTGAATCCCGTCTCATAGCCCAGCCCCAGAAGATCCAGTCTACCCATGCCAGCACGTCGCCGATCTCGCAGGTTGATACAGATCACCCCCAGGGAAGGGTAATCCCTCAACCCCACCAATCCGTCCTTTGCAGAAATCCTCGCTGTCACACAATGAATTAGCACGCAGTCCGCCACGAACGAGCTTTGTGTTTTATGATGATAGAGTGGTAGATCATAGCAACGTACCGGAAGAACCGGCATCTGTATCCCTCGAATATGAGGACAAGCTTGACGGTTTTCCCAAAGTTTGGCGAACATCCGCCGTTGACGAAGATACCGTTGAATTCGGGACCGTTTGCGAAGATTCCGGCTATGTTATCGCCTCCGGGCATTATGTGTACAGGTAGTTCTTGGTTGGTGGGTCGGCTGTTGGCTAGGAAGGGGAGGGCGACGAGGGAGAGGAGGGCTGATAGATGCATGGCTGATGTGTACGACGAGAATCTCGAGGAGAGAAAGATACGTGAAAGTCAATAGAAGGTATCGAGTATGAATGTGACTGTGTATGATGAGAAGAAGGAGAGATGACATGTTTATATAGAGAAAGGCAGGAAACAGAAGCTAAGCAACAACGTAGGTACGAATGCCAGGATTGAACAAGGAATTTACTCTCATGTATGAGTACGGCGCAGTCGACTCCAATTCATACGTATTGCCGAGCCAGCGCATGCGTGCATATATTAGTTGTAGGGTATCTCGACGTGCCGCATTCTTCGGACGGGTCGGATGATCCGACTATGTGCCACAATGTTGTCTACAAGGAAAACGGAAGGATTGCAGTGAAGTGAACCAACTAGAAGATTCAATTAGAATGGTATTGTAAGCCCTTGAGCTTCGCTTGCAGGCTTATTTGGTAGTCTTTCGTGTGCGTAACAGACGATCGAACTGCGGAATACAACACCTGCAGCTATCTCTGCCTCACATATTCGCAGCTTGCTTTGGCAAAGCCTCCGGTCGGACACGGGTCTAAATGCTTCAAACAGGTAGTGCGAGCGAGGGTTTTGTGGATATTGAATGTAGCTGGGTGCGCTCGAAGGATGAATGCTCGTCTATTGCGCATGCAGGTCTTGAGCACTAGGTAGAACAGTGGCGGTTAAATCATCGGCTCCAAAGACGTCGATGGAAAGAACGACTTCCTCTGAGCCTACGCGGAACCTGGTTCTCTGTTCAAGACTGACCAAAACGTAGTGAGAAGCTTCAAATAGCCTGCGAGTTGAATGAGTGATTACGACGAGCTCATCATGAGCCTAGGTAGCTACGATGGCGGGGTTACGTTACGTTCCTGCCCCACCCAACTGCACTTGCACCCTGGAAGGGTTCAACGGTGCCTCCTTCCTACATGTTCGAGATGACGTGCACGTGTGATCCTGCGTAGATATATTGGCCTTTGAGTGCTTTCGACTTGTCTCTCATCTCAGCACTGCTTCTCAATTGGGAAGGTAGGTGAGTATCTACGTCATTGCGATAGTTGGGTTCCTGCATTGTGCTGTGGTGAGATTGTATGTTACTGGACGCCTTCAGCTGTATCAATGCTCTGAGTCATCTCTTACGACGTCCAGGTAATGATAAGACGTTGTTCTGTACTTGTAGAAAATGTCGCATCCTTTGTGAACCCTCCGTGACTGAATACGACCGACGCTGATCGTACCGCTGGATAACCACTACCTCACAACCATGCCACTCCAACTGCATCCGATGACCGAGGAAGATAGTCTGTCCTGGACACGCGTACGCGCACTCGCCTACTACGGTCCGACGCACGTCGTCGTACACAGCGGCCCCATTAGCGAAACATCCATACGAGGTGTAGCTGAAGACCGCAAGCGCGAGATCAAGAAGCCAAACACGTGGCATTGGAAAGTCGTAGACACGGATCTGGAGCCTAGTTCTGACGACCCACCTAACAATGGCGGGCGCACAATCGCCGTGTCAGTATGGAGCATGAATAACGTCTCCGCAATGAAAGAAGGCGAGAACAACGAAGCACCTTCGATTCCGGCGGAGAAATCAGATGACACTCCTGGTTTCCTCCCACCGGAATTGCGTCTCGATGCTCTGGGTTCGTTGCTTGGTCCTCTACGAGCTGCTCAAGCCTCTATCATGGGCACATCGACGCCGCACTTTATGCTGAATTCACTGGCCACGCATCCGGATCATCAGGGTCGCGGAGCTGCGAAGATGATGCTGGACTGGGGGATGCAGAAGGCGGATGAAGAGGGGCTGGTCACGTATTTGGATTCCACGATGACCGGAAGGCCTGTATATGAGAGGAGGGGTTTTGCGCTGGTCAGGGCGCTTGAGTGGGATCGGGTGCCGTGGGGAGGAGAGGGTAAGGACTGGCATGGGTGCATGGTTCGGCCAGCGAAGAGCGTGGAGAAGTAGTTGTGTTGTGGAAATACATAGCAGAGATGAGAATGCAGGGCGTACCAGGTCGGTGGATAGCCGGCTAGCCGCCCGAAGAGCCGTAGAGCGAATGCGAACGCCCGGCTCGTGGGCTGTCAGACCCCGCAGCCTGCGCCCACGTTGCCGGGAAGCCAGCTGGGACGGTCGAGCGTGCAGATGTTATTGCAGCTGGCCGTTGAATTTCTCCAGTACCATTTCATAAATTTAATCGCATCATGAGCGCGGCGGTGACGTATCCATTCCTCTCCAGAAAGCAGCGGGCGCGGCTGGGAACGAGCGCAGGCACTTGCAGCCTTCTCCGCGCCTGATGGCCCAGCCCTGGTAAGAATCCCGGGCGGCGCGGGTTGCAGTGGTCGACTATGATGCATCTGGCAGGGGACCTGGAGCCCGCCTGGAATCCTCCTACCAGCCGCCTCAACCCATAGAAGGTACAAACAGACTTACACTCCACCAACACATTTATTCACCGCCCGATGTCCGCGCAGGGCTAATCTTGGGGCATGGGACGCAACGCGCGGAAGCGTATCTCGTACGGTAAGTGTCGGCTGCTGCATGCGCCGTTGCGACAAGCTGGAGCTGGAGCTGGAGCTGACCTGGGCGCGCAGTGCTGCCACTGGCCAACTCGGCGGGCGGCCACAGGCTGGGAGTCAATGGCTTGGCCGTCGACCCCCAGAACTCGATCCTCTACTCGGGCGGCCGTGATGGCGTAATCTGCGCCTGGGACCTGCATCTCGACCTCGACCACTCCACCGCCGACGACGACGACCCCTTCGCCGACTCCAACACGACCGACTCCAAGCCCCCGCCCACGCAGTTCCGCAACCAGGTCCAGGCCCACACCCACTGGATCAACGACATCGTCCTCGCCCAGAACAACGACGCCCTCGTCTCCGCCTCCTCCGACATCACCGTCAAGGTATGGCGACCCGCTGCCACCGACAAGCTGCCCCCTCAGACGATTGGCCTGCACACCGACTACGTCAAGCGCGTCGCATCGCCGGGCGGCAACGAGAACTGGGTAGCTTCGGGCGGCCTCGACCGCAAGATCAGCCTGTGGGACCTCAATGGCGCCGGCAAGAAGCTGGAGATTGCTGTCGGCGAGGATGAGAACACCGCCAAGGGCTCTGTATACGCCCTGGCAGCAACACCCAACCTCATCGCTAGTGGCGGGCCGGAGAGCATCGTCCGCGTGTGGGACGCGAGGTCGGGCAAGCGCATCACCAAATTTGTCGGTCACACGGACAATGTGCGCGATATCCTCCTGGCGCAGGACGGCGACATGATCCTGACGGGCTCGTCCGATCAGACGGTCAAGGTGTGGTCCATGACGGCAGGCCGCTGCATGTACACGCTTACTATGCACAACGACAGCGTCTGGTCTCTGCACTCCGACTCGCCCGAACTCGATGTCTTCTACTCTTCCGACCGCTCTGGCATAGTCGCCAAAAGTGATGTGCGCAACTGCGCCGAGATGGACGAGGGACTCTCGCTAGCAGTGTGTCAGGAGCACGAGGGTGTGAACAAGGTTGTCGCAGCTGGCGACTATATCTGGACTGCAACCTCCAGCTCGAGCATCAACCGGTGGAACGACGTCGAGACAGCAGCTGAGGTGGAGCTTCCGGAATCTTACAAGTGGCACAGGAACAGCGTGTCGACTATGCGATCGCGCATTCCTTCGCCTCCCGCTGGCAGCCCTCCGAAGAACGAAACGTCTAAGATTCCGCTCAAGTCTCTACTGCGCATGTCCAATACTGCGCCATTCCCGCAAGCGCTTGCGAGCAAGGATGCAGATACCTCAACTCTAGCCAGCACGCGCAAACCCTCCGAAGTACTAGCGGCTCCCGAACACAGCGCTGTTGGGACCGTCCGGGCACTACCAGACTTTACAATCGAAGGCCAGAACGGTCTCATCAAGCATCATCTGCTCAACGATCGGCGAAGAGTCCTCACTCTCGACACTGCGGGCGAGGTGGTTCTATGGGATCTACTGCAATGCGCACCCATCAAGTCATACGGCAAGAAGCACATGGAGGACGTCGTGCCAGAAGTTAACACCGTCGACACCGTCGCTCACTGGTGCGCTGTCGATACAAGGATAGGGACCTTGACGTGCATGCTCGAAGAGAACTACTGCTTCGATGCCGAGACATACGCAGATGAGCTGGAGCTAGAGGAGCAGATTGACTTCCGGGAAGACCACCGCATAAACCTTGGCAAATGGATATTGCGATACCTTTTCTCCAATCTCATCGACGAGGAAATCAAGCGCGATGAGGTCCTGCGCGCAGAGCTGCTCAAACAGAAGGAAGAACAACCTCAGCCGGGTCGCCCGACAAACATTGAGCTACCGAACATGAACATCAACGGATGGACAGATGCGACTTCAGGACCTGCTTCAGGCTCGACCATCAGAGCTGACGGAATGCGCCTACCGCATACGCCAGGTTTAGCCATTGGTCTAGCCACGCCAATGGCAGCACCTATGAGTGCAGGACGCAACTCTACCACCAACCCCTTGACTCCTACCAAGGAAGAGGGCGCACAACTGGAGAAGACGCAAACCCAACGGAGCTCGACTCAAGAAGGCGGTGACTACTTTGGTTCTGCCTCTGCTGCTAACGGCAACGGAAGTGGAAAAGCCACCGAGGCTTCGAAAGACGGCTCTGCGGACTCAAAAGAGGAAACTGTCCAGTCACCTACCGAGGCCGATACGCCAGCTAAGAAGGGCAAAGGCATGTTTGGTAAGAAGTTTAACATGGGCTTTAGCATGAAGAAGTTTAGCACTGGCACAGCTGCCCCGGAGCCAGCCAAACCCGCCGTTGACGAAAAGGCCGAGGACAGCGATGCACACTCCAACAAGACGGATGAAAAGACCATTGAAGATAATTTCTTCGGCGCTCTTCAACGGATACGGCAGGGTTACGAGGAACAGCTTGCGGCCGGCGCGACCAAGCTGGACACGCAGATTGCACCCAGTCTGCCTAACGAAACACCCGTACTAAAACCACCTGCTATGACCACCATCCTGATCCAAGAGGACCGACCCGACTCCGGCGGTGTAGCCGACCTGTTCGAGGGCAAAGTCGGAACCCTAGGAACCCAAGCCGACCTCATCGAAAAAGCCGCACCAATGTGGCTAGCAGAAGTCCTACTACGAGTTCGTCACCCCAAACATTCAAACCACCCCTCTTTACTAACGCAACCCCCCCACAGAACCAACTCCCGCCCAAAGACATCGTCAAAGTATCCTTCGTGCTAGAACCGTTTAACAACACGCTCCCCTCCATCTCATCCGACGGGTACATTCCCTTTGCCCTCCCCTTCGAAACCGCCGCCAGCGCTAACGCGACTCTCAGTAACAACCGCCTCAATGCAAATAGAATGTTGCGCGCACGCAAGATACTGGGTTATGTGGCTGAGCGCATTGAACCCGCGCCCACCAAGGAGGATCTCGAGAAGTCGGCGGAGAGTGGTGGCGTGCTTAAGCCGGATGAGTATTTGGAGTTGTATTGTAATAATCAGGTGAGTTTGACAGTTACTTGTTATATAACGTTGGTGGAGGGAATTGTGCTAATTTTTGTTTCAACAGTTAATCCCGCCAACCATGACACTAGCCAGTATCCGCGCACACATCTGGCGTGGCGGCGGCGACGTCCTCCTCCTTTACAAAGCCAATGGCCGCAAGGAAATCAGACATGCACCTTACCCTGGACCGCAGTCTGGTGCGCCTCCTGGTCCTATGCATGGATTGAAGGTGGGTGCCGGGTTGAACTCGCAGCCTGGGAGTAGCAATGCGAGTGAGGGGAAGCAGAGCAGTGAGGCGGATAGGAGTACTAAGGATGCTGCGGTTTTTGGGCCGTAGGCTGTGTTTGGTTTGGTATGGAGTGGTTCCGTTCGTGAGGTTTGGATATGCAAGGGGGCAGGCTTGGCTGGCTGTGTTGCAGCTCGCTTGGGAGGGATTAGTATTGTTCTTTGGATAAAGACCAGAGGGGTTGAATAGTGTATATAGCATACCCGCTTGCCAGTAGACTCTTCCATGAGTCCGTGGCCTCGGCCTCGTGCGGCTGAGTAGGATGAACGTAATCCTATACTCTCATTATTGTTGTTCCCTCCTCCACCCTTTCCCCAAAACCTCTCCATGATTGACCATGCCGCTCGCTCACACCTCACACCTCAACCACACCCCCCAACGCATTACTCGCCCACTGATAACTCCCCAAGAAAATCGCTCCCCCAACACTAATCCAACCCACCCTCGGCCCCATCCCCGCGAAAAACGCCCTCGGCCCACTCTCCCTCATAATCGACGCCAACATCTGCATCATAGGCTGTTTCTCCCTCGCAAGCATCATCCTCGTCTTCAGCACATCCAACGGCGTCGTGACCCCCGCCGCCACAGCCCCCGCCACACTCCCCAGCAAACCCCCTTCCAGACCCGTTACTTCGCTCCGCCCTGTCCGGCTCATCCGCCACTTTTTCAGCGCCTCCCAGAGCGGGAATTGGATTACGGTAAAGGGCACTTCGCGGATTATGGTTATGGACCACCCCCGGTAGAGTTCCATCCACACGTGTGCGAGGCCGTGGGTGTGGCGCTGGCGCAGGATGAAGGTGAGCGCGGAGAGGGAGGAGGGGTGTTGGGAGGCTTGGGCGCGTTGTTTTATTACTTCCGTAGGCACCCTAACTGCACACGCAGCAACCTCTCCCGCGCTGGCTGCGGCCATGTGCACGAGTGCTTCTGTCCCACTGTCCCTCGCATCTTCTTTGTACGGTTTCCCTTCCGCGTTATACCGCACGGTGGTTGTAGCTAGGCTTTGGCTCTGGGCGAAGGTACGTTTTATCGTGTCGTAGGTTATGAAGAAGAGGGCGGCGCCGGGCGCGGACCCGACGATTGCGCTGCCGACGCCGCGGTAGATGCCGTTGAAGCCGCCGCTGGCGGCGAAGCCGGAGGCGGATTGGAGGCGCGTTTTTAGCGTGTCGAGGGGGTAGAGGGATAGGTCGACTGTTGTGCCTGCTAGGCCGCCTGCCTGGGGTGGGCTGTTAGTTGGGTGTGTAGAAGATGTGGGTTGATGACTCGGATCGATGCGCTGTCGCGTGCTTGGGAGGAATTGGAAGGCAATTTTCTGACAGGAGAAAGATTCAGTTACTTACTATAAGCGACCTCAAGTATGGCGACTCAACCCATGCTTGTGGTGGTTGTGCGAGTGAGGAGTCGAGCATGGTGGGAAAGTATTCGGCGGGCCATGACGATGATGTTCGAGATGATTGCAGAGCGAGGAACGGAAGGTCTGTGCGCAAGCTAGTGGACTATGCTACGGGCTTCTTTCGTCCCTAATCGCTTTCTCACGCTTCAATGATTTCCTGACACACAAAATACAGGCAGAAACGGTCGCTTTTCAAAGGCGGTGTACGACAGACAGAAGATGGCGCGTTGAAAGAATGTCTGCTTCGGCTATGAGTGTGAGATGTCTGGCTAGCACAAGGATTCCGATATGCGATGCGCAAGATGGACAAAAGGAGGCAAGGGATGAAGATCGGGATCGTGCTCAGTCAAATGAGTTGGGCGAGGCGGAGAGAGTGATAACGAGCAGCGGTGAGGCACAACACCAGTCCATGGAAGACGAACCGGAAGACAAGAACAACAATCACCCCTCGGATAGACAATCGTCCCCGAGATCATCGCTTCTATCTTCCGAATTGGAATCGGAATCAGAAGATGGCAGCGAGTCTAACAGGTCAGATCACGAGTTCGATACCAAACCGTACACGAGCTGCATACAAGAAGCTCAGCTATCACCGGATGGTACCTGCGTCTTCACATCGGACTATAGTCGTCAATTTTCTGTGTATCCCATCTCCAACGACATCCTGACCCAGACCAACGCTCAGCCTCTCACGCCCTACGCTTCTCTTCGCTCTGCCGATCCTATTTGGGCTTTTGCTGTCAACCCGCTCTTCAACTTACAAGATGCCAGCAGCACGACTGTGCTGATCAGTCGACGGGATGCTTACATCAGTCTGCACAACGCCTTATGGTCTACCTTACAGAAACACATCGAAGACAATCAAATCTCAGGGCCAGTAGATATATCCACCCCCCTAGCATCCTACAAACTCATCAACAATCTGACTGAAGCCGTCATCGCACCCCTCAGCCTCGCCTACTCCACCACCGCCACCCACTTCTTCGCCGGCTCAAAAGACGAAATCGCCATCTTCGACCTCCTCGAGACCGATAAACCAATCCACACAATCCGCACCATACCCGCCAAACGCAACAAACTCAAAGGCGGAGGCCGCGGCTTCAAAGGCCAGATTTCCGCTTTATCCCTCTCGCCCCCCTCTCACACATCACATGATGGCATTCTAGCAGCCGGCTCCCGCACCCGTTACATCGGTATCTACGACCCCGTCGGCGGCACAGAAGTGACACATTTCTCCCTCCCAGGCACGATCAACGGCATCAAATTCCGCAACGAAAACCTCCAAAGCGTCATGGGCGACGGCGTCACATCCCTCAAATGGAGCCCATGCGGCAAATACCTCTACGTCGCGGAGCGCAGTTCAGACGTCCTCCTCATCTACGACGTCCGCAACTTCTCGCTCACCTTGGGATACTGTGCGGGGAGACAAGCGCTCACTCGTCAGAAACTGGGGTTCGATGTTTGGAATGCGGGACAGAGTCCGTATGATGTTGAGGGGATTTCGCATGAGGTTTGGGCTGGTGGGATGGATGGGAAAATGAGGGTTTGGAGGGATCCGTATAGGAGGGAGGGGGCTGTACAGGCTGATGAGGTGGTGGAGGTGGGTGATGGGAAGGCGCCTGTTGTGGGCAGTCTTGTTCATGCTTCGGGGAGTTTGGCGGTTGCGGCTTGTGGGAGGGTTGGGTTGGGGGGTGATATGGAAGAAGGGACGAGGAGGGGTGGGGGTGTGAGACCCGTGGTGAGGGAGTGGGGGAGTTTGGATATCTTGGGGTTGGGCTGAGATGTTGCTCTCGGAGATGCTGAGACGTGGTAGGTTAATGAGGTTCAAGAAGTGTTGGGCATGATATTTGCGCATCCGCCTTCGACGCGAAAATAACGCGTGGGCTGCAAAGGTCCCTGAGCAGAGAGAAACGATCTTCAGACGTCCGAGGAGCTTCTGCAGCAGGCCTAAAGTACGAAGGCTAACCAAGTGTCAAGAATTGCAACTACCTGTTCGTGTTCCATTATACCTGGGCGCATCGCATATTTACAGACCACGCCACACAACTACATGACGGAAATTTCCTCGCTCCTCGCTTCCTTTATCCGAACGACCGCTACCGCCCTGTCCAAGCCCCGAACCTTTTTATCACTGTTCCAATCTAGGATCGTCTTTTGAGGCATCGCAAGCTCTTCGCAGTATCAAGGGTATCTTGCTATCTACTCTCTCACCGCCACACGAGTACTACTGGGTGCCAGTCTGCCGGTTCATACACATACCCGCTACCCCGTCAAGGTCTAGAAGACCTCGAGGTATAGCCGGAGTAAGGAGTGCAAGCGTGATCCCCATCTGGAAGTCGTCGGTTCCTCGCTGGATTTTCTTACTATTGTTCGTTGAATGTGCATGGGTTTAAAACGCAGGTACGGCGCAGCTAAGCAACACGCTAGTTGTGGCAATGCTTGTGTATTTGTTGAACATATTTGTTCAGATTATGGAATAGTACATGTCTTTAATAAGTTTTGGTTATTGAAATTAAGCAATGAGTAGGACGTTCTTGACATTACAACCTTGGACGAGCTGCTCTTCCCTGTAGGTTTATTCGTTCAGCTCAGCTATTCATGCTTCATCCACGATAAGTATGGAGTGCGGTCAGGAGCGACAAGCACCAGACACATATATGTAAGTTTCCAGATCTACCAGCTCTTGAGTGGAATTTTGTGTTGGTCTGCGGTGTGCTACTGTGGGTAAATACACAAAAGGCATTTGCAAAGACCTACCGACCCACTGTGCGCAAGATCTTCTTGTTATATTCTCATCTTTATTACAAGAACAATAGTAGGATAAAATGATTCTACGAATTCGCAAGATCCAACAAAAGTAAGGGCGCGCCTGTACGTTAGGGCACATCAGACGAGCCAGACTGCGCCAGAATCACACATGGTAGTATCACCATCTCTCACCGTGAATTTATCGCTTGGGTCATTTTTTCCCAGTCTCTCGCTGTCTATATAAGCTGCCTTCTCTCTGTCGTTACACACAGTATCATCGAATACTCCGATCACTCCATCTTACTCCACACCACCTCTTACTACCAAGCTATCCGCAAAACGACCAGCCATGCATCTCGCCGCCCTCCTCTCACTCGCTGCTATTCCATTCCTAGCGAGCGGCCTTCCAGCCGCCGAAACAGAGGCCACGCATCTAGCCCCCCGTGCTTCCGACGCCGGCTACATCTATTATGAACCAGGCGGTATCCCCGATCATTTAAGCCATAGAGCCCCCTTGATAGCCAACGGTGGTTGTTCGCCAAACTTCCCGGGACAGGCCGCTACCTGCACAGTTTTTGCAGGCTATAGATGCCGATTCTTCCGGTAAGTTATCATCGTGCTGTGCGACTTGATACGAATTTGGGGGTTCTTTTGTACTGTGGTCAATGTGAGATCAAGATCCTTGAAGCTGGTTACTAACGAAACATGTGATAGGGACAATAACTGCAAAGGCCTTATTGGTGGGGTTGAAGGGCTGCCTTCTCCAGGAGGAGGGCTCTATCAAAAAGCCAGGTCCGCCACTTGCTGGCGTGGATAGAGTGGTTGCGGCCACGAGGAAGGTTATCGCCATGTACGCTTCGCATGGGAAGTCTTTCAAACGTACTCTGGAGAGCACAAGTCGGTGGAACGGAATATACGGACGGTCATTTTACTAGTATATACGAAGCAGCACCAGAATGAACTATTTGTTGCATTCTGCAACATTATTATTCCTTGAGCTTATACTTAAACGCGATATCCAGCTACGCCAACCCCAAACTCTTACCCAAACCAGCAAAGATACTGAAAGGATGTGACACGTCCCTTTGGATAAAAGCACATCTCATCCCTCCATGACCACCCCAAGTTCGGAATAATCTTGACCTGTACATCAACGTTACTTCCCTCCTTCTTGCTCTTCTCGACAAAACGCTCAGCCCAATTCTGAGCAGCGTTTCTTAAACCAGTCCAAGTCGGACTAAAATTCGGCTTTACATCGCTGTCCTCGAGATCGGCGTAGTAGTATTCATTACCATCAATGCAGACCAACTCCAACTTCTGTAGTCTCGTAGAATCCACCATATCCGCAAGCTCAGACATATCCCCAAACGTCGCTTCATTAACCAAACGCGACGTCTTCGCGCCCTGCAACTCCTCATCGTCTTTCTGCTTTTTCAAGAACATACTCCCCGGAACACCAACACTAAGACTCTTAAGGCCAGAACATCTCTTCACAACATCAATAACACTCCCAGCGCGGTACCAAGCAGGACTCAACCGCGGTACATGATCAGTCTCCCGCACAGTCCCTATCTCGAGGTTCTGGATGCAGCTCCATGCGCTGGACGGCATGCCGAACATCCATAGTTCCAAGTTGATTACGTCGTTGACAGCGATGGTGGTGTGGCGCAGATATACCTCAGAAGCTTCTTGGTTGATTTGACGGTTTAGGCGTAGGTAGGGTGGGAGGCGGGAGCTGAGGGGTGGTAAAGGGGAGGGGTCGCTGGGTTGGGCGTATTGTAGTTTTGGAGGCAGGTCGGTGAGGAGGCGGGTGTAGATTTCGTCACGGATTTCGCGGGGGAAGAGGGTGAGGAAGGGACGGGCGCTGGATGTTTGTTGTGTGTCCATTGTGAGAAGATCCGGGGTTGCGTAATGAGCGGTGATTGTCTCCAACGATAACTGTATAGATAACCCGAGTGGGTGATGAAGAGCTCGAGATGTGTGAGCAGGTTGTAGCAGAGTTATATGATCATGGCCACGGTGGCTGTGGGACGTTGTCAAGTTGATTCAAAGTGGCGGTGCAATTTCCATGTACCGGTCAGAAGCATCCGGCTGACATTGAGCAGGCATCTGCATAGTGCACCCTTCTCGCTCATGATTTACGTAGATGTGTCACGAAAAATGCCCGATGGAAGGTTGAAAGAGAGGTTCTGTCAACAGTCGCAACTGCCCGACCCATCACTGCGCCACATTGCACCGCCACAACTCCAAAGTTGCTGCCTACCTAGGTATCGATCCAAGTCACTTCCCAGCATTAAACAAAACTGCCTATCTCAAAACCCCATCAAAAGACAAAGAAGGGAATTTTCATGGAAAACACCTCCACTTAAACCCCCAGAATGCTCGACCTAGCAACCCGCCGCCGCATCTGCGAAGATACAATAACCCGCTCCCCCTCCATCGCAGCCTCCACCCCCAACGGCTCCCTAACCAGCTACTTCATCCCATCCCAACTACCCCCTTTATCAAAAACACACCCCACATACCCATCCTACCCCGCAATCCCCCCAGTCAGAATCCACAACAGCGACGCCTTCGCCCTCGCCCGCTCCCTCCCCGGCACCTCCAAACCCGGCATCCTAAACCTAGCCTCCGACGCCGAACCCGGCGGCGGCTGGCGCTTCACACTATCATCCACGCAGGAAGAAGCTCTGTGTTATTCATCCACGTTGTATGCGACGTTGAAGCCGGAATGGTATCCGTGGGCTAATACGGGGCCGGGGTGTGTGGCTGGTGTTGTGTCGCCCGATGTCGTCGTTTTTAGAGATACGCTAGATAATGGGCTTGTTGAGTTACCGGAGGATCGGCGGCTTGTGGTTGCTGTTATGACGGTTGCGGCGCCGAGGTTTCCTGCTGTTGTGACGGAGGGGGAGGGGGAGGTGGTGTTTAAGGAGGAAAGTGTTGTTGAGGAGGTACGGGAGAAGGTTAGGTTAGTGTTGAGGATGGCGGCACAGGAGGGTGTGGGGAGTTTGGTGTTGGGGGCGATGGGGTGTGGGGCTTATGGGTGTCCGCCTAGGGCTGTGGCGAAGGAGATGAAGGGTGTGTTGGGGGAGGAAGAGTTTGAGGGGTGGTTTGAGAGTGTCGATTTTGCGGTTTATGCTAAAGGCCCGGCTGGGATGAGGAATTTGGAGGCTTTTAGGGATGTTTTTGGAGGGGAGTGAGAGTGAGAGATTTGATGGGGATGCAACTGGTCGTTGCATTGTAGATTGTATGTACATATTTGGTAAAGGTAAAATAGATACAGAGAAGATAAATCATGTCGACTTCCGAGTCGCAAAGGCCTCACGCCTTACGCACACTTCCAATCCACTCTAGATCTTACCAACACCAGCAGTGTTAGCAACATTCGAGCTCGCCGCCGAAGCACCAGCAACATTCTTTCCCTGGAAGTTAACCAAGAAATCTGTCTGAGTACCACTGAAGCTTCCACTGCTGCCAAAAGAGTTAAGCTGGCAAGTGTGGCCAAGATAGGTCTGACACACTCCGTTTGCACCCGTCGAAGGCGCAGAAAACAACTGCCCCTTATTGTTAAGCAGCGGCGTGTTAACATTCTGAAACACATTGCCCTCTGCAACAACCATGCCGCCTGCTTCAATATCAAACGCATGGCCCGTGTTGCTGTAGAAGTAGTTGTTTACGGCGTGGAGCAGCGTGTTTCCCTGTCCACCAACCTTCGGGCTGCGGCCAGAGGTGTGGTGGATGTAGTTGCCCTTCATGGTGATGAGATCGCTGCCGCCGAGGAGGAGGATGGACCAGTAGTGGCGGCCGTCGCAGGAGGCGGACCAGGAGGTGCTGCCGTCGAATTCCGAGTTGCTGATTGTTACGCGGCCCGAGGCGCCGTAGCCGGCTACGAACATTTGACGGCCGATGAGGGAGATTTTGACGTGGTCTGCAGGGGTTGTTAGAAGTGGGATGGGTTAGGAAGGGAGGGGTTGGACGTACCGATCCAGACTAGGTCGGACTTGTCGAGGGTGATGGCGTCGCCGCCCCAGATGTACTGTGGGTTGAGCTCGGTGATGTGGATGTTCTGGATGATGATGTTCTGTGCTCCGTTGGCGATGCGGAGACCTTTGCCACGGATGACACCCTTGTTGCCAACACCGATGAGGGACTTGTTGGAGCCCATGTTGATGGCAGTTACACCGGCATTGTCGTACTTGACCTGGACAGACGTGGCGCCTGCTCCAGCGTTTCCGTTGTCACACCAGTTGGCAGAGTTGATGGCGTCTTGACCTCCGTTACCAGGGCATTTGTTGGATGCAGGACGGCAGCCGGTGGCTGTTGTGGTTCCCTCAGTACCCTTGAAGTTGAACTCCCGGTCGAGTACGATACAACGGGCAGTGCTGTCGCTGAGCCAGGTCTTCAGCTGGGCTACCGAGGAAGGTACAACACAAGCTGCATTGCCACCTCCCGTAGTACCTCTTCCGAAGCCTTCAGGTGTGCCCTTGACTCCGTATGATTGCCTCTCTCCAAGAACGGCGGCGCTGGCTGTGTACGCGCCTGCGAGCGCAAGAATAGAAAACTTCATAGTGAAAGACGAATGAATGAATAATGCTTTCCTGAAACAAGACCAAGGGCTTAGTAAGTAGAAAGAATGGTTTGATACTGTAGATAGTCCTTTACCGGTGGCACATCTGCTCTTTAAAAGCAATTGCCATGCTAGCTAGAAGGGTACCCCTCTGGAAGGATACTCGGCAACCATGCCGGCATCGAGATACATCTGATGTTGAGGAGAGTAGTTTCTGCGTCCTAGTGTTGATTTCCTCCATTAGCAGGACGGAAGGACCAGCGCTTGGTGATGATAGGGGCATGGTAAAGCACCAGCTCATGGCGCTAACGCACGCTACAAATGACAGCGGCGCGCAGTCAAGAACGCCACAGGGACTGTGAGTAGTTTGACAGCTATCCAGATCCCTGCAATCTTGTTCTCTTCAGGTACTGTTGCCGGCATGCTGTCGTTGTGCCAGGGACCGTGAACATGTTTGCCCTGCTTCTGGAAGTTGCATCATTTCGGCTGTCGCGCTCGAGCCCTGATGGGTCCTGCTCTTGGAAATAGGTGTGGGACCATTGGTACCGGACGTTCCTAATCGCGCGACTTAGGTGCTGACGGTGTCTGCCCAGGTGTTCGCACGTGTAGTCGATGAACGTGTATTCCACGTCGGACCGAATGACTACACCACACTGCTGTTAGATCGTACCCTAGTCGCTCATCTTTTCGCGATCAACCTCGAGCTAATCGCTGGTCAGTTGATCTGGCTTCATATAGAGATAGCGCTTGAGCGGTGGAAGAATAATGCAGACCTCGGCGTTCTCTTCGGAACGGGTAGGGCGGATGGCAGACCCTGGGCTAGCACGTTTCGTCTCTCCGCACTTTGGTAGACCTGCGCTAGCGTAGCATATGCCGGCGCTACAAGCACACCAAGCACATCTCGGCAATGTTTTGCCCGGTCACAGGCATGTCGGTGTTTGAATTGCCAGCATTCCAGCCATACCCATCTGTGCATGTCTGATTCACGGAACAGAAAACCCGTCTTTGACAATGTGATGCTGCAAATGATCAAAGGTCGCCCCGGGAGCAGCAATATCAGGCGTATACGCTTGCTTTGCGACTATTATGCACGGAAGCTGGTATCCGCACCTGTCGAGTGTCGGAAGAATATTCACGCGCGTAGCTCGTCGGACTTTTAGATGACAGGACGCGATGGATGGAGACTACGAGGTGGATTTAAATGTCCGTAACCCACATCCACATGGCTACCGAGTGTTCGGACGACGTGTTGAGTAATCGAAACTCTGACTGACTGCAACTGTTCATATTTTTAGTCTTCGTAACATCGTAAATGACTTGTATTTCATGTACTCATAGCCACTCATACTCCGGTCTTATGCATCAAGCCCAGCCACGACTGTCATCGTCATGAGACTCGAGGAAACGCCCTTAATCAGCTCGACTGACATATTTATACATACTCTCTGTCCGCACAGCTCTGGATCATGCCCTTGTTGGTCGCGTCATACTCAATCAAGTCGATCTTGCCGTCCTTCTCGACAGTGTTTGCCTGGACGAAGACCTTCCTGGGTGTCTTCTTCTTGAGGACGGCCGGCCTGACCATGTTCTCGTAGAAGGGCTCAACAGTGGTGATCTCGTCGTACATCCTCTTACCGGCTGCGTAGTCTGCAGTAGCCTTGTAGATATGCAGCTTCTGGAGGTAGTCGTTTACGGCAGGGCGACCTAGATCGAGAATACGATCACGCTCAAGGCGGATGGTCAGGTCGGAGAGATCATCCTTTTCCCACTCCAGCTGGCAGAACTCGACACCGGCATTGAGGAATGTGCGCAAGATGGAGAAGCGAGCTTGCATGTGGGCTTGACCCCACTTCCTGCTCTTAGGATCCCAGAACTCTAGAGCTGCGATACCAGCGCGGGCCATCTGAAGGTATGCTGTGAAGAGAACGTCGCCGGCCTCACTGTTCATGTCGGCCTTGCCGTCACCAAAACCGAACAGTTGCAAGATGGGGAATTCGCAAGAGAGCGCCATGGCGACGCACTCGGCACGGCACTCCTCATAGGAAGCAGCGATCGTGCCGAATGTTGATCCCCAAGTCTGGCCTGGCTTGTACCAAGACTTTATTGGCTGGCCGCTTAGTGGTGAGATTGGAGGGTTCTCTTTGTCGAAGTTGAAGACGCCTGGCTCCGTCTCCTGGAGAAGCTTACCACAACCGTGGCCTAGCAGCTCGTGGAGGCCGACCTGGACCTCAAACGCAGGGTCTCGGTACTTTTGGTACGTGGCCAGGTCTTTGTCTTTTATGAAAGGAACAGCCTCGTTTGGTGCTTTTGCAGAGAGGATGTTGCCAAGCGATACGTTCTTGAAGCCGAAGTTCTGCCGAATGTCATCATAGTTGGGGATGTTGATTCCGGCAGGGATGCTGTTGATGTTAGATGAGGTCACAGAACAACGAAAGCTTTCTTGACGTACCCACTGCCCGCAAATGTCAGCACCTCGAGCGAGGTGAAGTCAGGGCTAAGGAACTTGTCCTTCTCGAACGACTTGTCCCACGGTAGCAGAGGGATGTACTGTGGCGCGGTCTCGACCAACTTGCCAAAGGCTCGCGTCCGTTCCTTGTTGACCATGGCAACGAAGCCTTCCCACTCGCCACGAATGCCGTGCGGGTCGCGGTATGTCTCGATGAATCCGATGTCCGATTCCACCTGAGGTCCCTTGTCCTGTACCCATGCCTTTTGGCTTTCCTTGAAGGCCTGGAGTGACCCTGTCCTGAAGCTCTTGGAGTATTCCTCCATCATCTTGATCTCGTGGTCATTGGCTGCGTATTCCTTCGCCTGCTCAATGTGGTGCGCGATGGTGTCCATCTCCTTGGAGTAGTCACCAAAGACTAACTTCACCTTGCTGCCATCTTCCATTGTCCACTCGCTTTCTTTCAGATCGCGTTGTTCTGCCGATGGGTTGTCCGAGGCTGAAGCAATGAGAACCTCGTATCCATCCTTCGCCTTCTTGATCCTTGTGTTCTCCGGAAGCAGTCCTTTGCCTTCGAGGAAATCGCTCACGCTAGAGATCTGTTCGCTGGTGATGTCGGGGCTGTCGGGGTAGTAGGTCGAGATGTGTCCCGCGCCGGGGTAGCCCAGATGCAGCTTTCCCACATCGTCGCCGGCATATATGGCGTCCTTGAACTTTTCGTATATGGCCAATGTGTCTTTGGAGGCGGTCGCGAGTGCCTTCAGCTGTCGCGGATCGAGGCGGGGTACGAACTTGCTGTCTCCGAAGGACTTGAAGTTGCCTAGGTTGCCTAGAAACTGCGCTGAGTAATCGAGGTATGCGTCAATCTCTTCTTGTGAGAGACCTGTATCTTTGGCGAGGGAAGCATAGTCGCCCTTGGCGTGCTTGTGGAGGGCGACGATGAAGTCATAGATGTGCTCGGATTCGGGGGAGACTTGGCGGAGGACGACGCGTGTTCCGGCGAAGCATGCTCTGTATTATGTGTCAATTGATACCCTACGAGGAGCTGAATTATACGTATATCTTACACTGAGAGGTGGTGGGCGTAGAGCTTCTCCTTGTCGCTCAGCGCATCAAAGTGAGGCTTGATGGTCAGAGGCACGACAGTGGGCGGGCTATCCGCCAAGTACTGTTTGAGCGTCTCTGAATCGATAGTGGCGGTCATGTTGTTGGTGGTAGTTGAGGTTGAGAGTCGTCTCGTGAGCTCCAAGGGCAGCGGCGGGGAGCTGATGCGGGCCCAGTAGCGTGGGCGTGGGGTAACCGCTGCACGTGTCTCACCTGAGGTCGTGGCAGGTTCGCGCCTTCCTGCCGCGCGCCACGAGCTGATTCGCCCACGCGTGAGCCTCCCTCCAAGAGGCTGCAACAAACGCGGCTTAGAAAGCATCGCTGTTAGATATGCTTGCTTTACGATCGTAGTAGAGTAAAGATTCCTCATTTCGCTCGCTTAGCTGGCGCGAAGTTCCGCCGAGGTGTTCCCTTCGCAACGCGTCACGGTCCTGCTTTCTCCACTACTCTTTGACGTTACTCTTCTTCACGGCATCATCACCAAACTTCAGCAAAATCGTTATATCCAGTCGCAGATTCTCTCCACCATGGACGACCTTCCCAACGAATTGCTCATCTACATCGTTGACCACCTGAGAGGCCCTACAACCTGGGCAGAACCAGCCGACTACAGCCGCACGCACGCCCTTGCGGCTCTTTGTTGCGTTTCCAAGAAGTTGTACCATATTACCAGACCGTTGCTCTACGAATCGATAGACCTGCCCCCGAATGACGGTGTTCTGCCCCAGTCTCGAAGACTTTTTGCTCGTCTCCAAGAGCAGCCAAGCCTTCGCCTCGAGATCAAAGCCCTTCGACAGAAGACGCCTGCTAGGCTGAGACGGGACGGCGAGCGCCGTATGCGCGTCCGCGATGAGTACATGAAAGACACTACAAGAGACGTGAGAGCCTTTGGGCTAGGCACGGAAGACGCCTCAGCACTCGTGGGCCGTTGGCTAGAGTACGAAGACCTATACTTCGCTCTAGTGGCATTTCGGACACCGAACTTGGAGCGTTTATGGGCACGGTCGGCCCTTGAATACCAAGGGCTCTATGACGATTGCAACAATACCCTTCTCGAGGGCATAGGCCGTATGGCTATGGGCCTAAGTCGGCTTCACACTCACCGATTTGACAATCTCAAGATTTTGTATTTCGATTTCTCTAAAACACCGCAAACGCCCGCGCGGTATGCGTTCCCGTTGTTACTTCTTCCCAACTTGGATGAGCTTACTCTTGTCGCGTTGGGCGGCTATTTCGACATGGCTGAGAATGAAACTGAAGTCGGTTTCGAATACGATGACGCCGACGGCTTGATCATTTTCGGCCGCCCTTGGTTGTGGCCACTACGCTCATCGCCTATCACCAAGCTCTCGCTATTCAAACCAGTTATCTCCGAGAATACGGTCAAGAATATGATAACGTCGTGTAAAGCTCTGGAGCGATTTGAATGCTTTCACCCACTACGTTCCACCCCGCTCGATCAGTGGTTTGGGGGTCTCATTCCCGCGCTGAACAATCACATCGAGAGTCTTCAAAACTTATCGTTATTGTGTAGGCAGCATTGGCCGTCATTAGAGCACACTGGCATGGCTCAGCTCGATTCTATTCATGAGTTCACCAATTTAAACTCAGTCAGGGTCTCTTTGTATCTGGTGTCTGATCCGGGGGATGCTCTGAATGCTCGAAGTCTGCCTGCTTTCTTACCGCCAAGCATCACATCACTGCACATCCACTATCCCCGTGAGCCAAACGACGAAGCCGATCAACAACTTGTCGATGTTCTCAGCGCGCACAAGGACGGTACCTTAGCGTCGCTGAAAGATGTATACATCACATGGGTATACTACCAACGCGGAGAGGAAGAATTCGATCTGCTAGAACGACTTCAGTCGCTGGTACAGATCAAAGCGCAATACGAGGCGTCATCCATCACGTTTGACATTATGTTGACAATCAGAGACGACAAAGGTAAATGGCCGTTGGTCAGGGGATCGTCAAGCAGTGCTAACGTCTACTAGGGATCAGACGCAATTGGCCTAAGCTGGCCAATCTAGGACTGGTCATAAATGGGACCTACCTGAGCACTGATCCATACGATGAACCTGACCAGAAAAGTGTCTTTGTCGATTTCACGACCTCTCCTACTCGCTACACGGCGCAGGAACTACAGGATGATCGAGATCATTGGTCTTTCTGGTGAACCCGCGATTTGTATACCAGGGGCCACGGGGTATACTTAACACTCTTATCAGCTTCGTTTCCCGCTTCTGAAACTTGCCTACCTGGCTCGACATGAACCAGCTCACGATCACGATATTTCTAACCCGTAGGTCCCCTGGAAGTCGAGGTTCAGTGTCGCGCGTATGGACGTCGATTGCGCAACTGTCGTCATCGTCCATATCTGTCGATACACCTAGGCCCTATTCCCGGCTTCTTAATGACTATGCGACATCGAGACAGCCTCATCAGCGATCTCGAGTCTGTGGAGATGTGCGGATATGAAGCTTCCGGCGCTTCTTACAGCCACTTCGCACAATCCTTTCGTATCCCTCCTCTCATCAACAGTACGACATCGAGAGACTAGGCCACCAAAGCCTCATCATGGCTGTTGGCACAAGCATCATCGTCAACTGCGTGTGATACGCTACTTGACATCGCATTCATTATGCTAAAAGCTTCGGCACCGGGTATGGCGTCTTATTGCCTCTCATCACGAAAACATATTTAGAGTTCCTGGTAGCTCAAGGCGCTGCAGCCACGGGCCACACGGTCGGTGGAAGACCCGCTTTCAAGATGCCAGCTATGCCGATCAGATGCACTGAAGTCAATCTGGCGTTAGTCGCTTGACAAGGACTAAGTTGGATATCCTTGTTACTCTTGTGGTAACAAAGCACGTGCCGCCTGCACCAAGTTATTTTGAGGATCAGAAGTCCACCAGATTTGTCGCCGTACTTCTAGTGCCCGGTCTTGCATGTGTCGAGCAAGTGTCTGACAGCGGTCATTCATCAAAACGGCTTGGAAACTCGGCTCACTGCGTGTGGCGTCATGGTATATCTTCTCAGTATCGCCGGATGCGTCCATGCTACCTAGGGACAGTCGCTTCCACAGCCGGGTACCTTCCATGGATGGGCTAGGGCTGACTGTGGAACACCAAGAACATAATCTGACTAGTCAGCTATTCCCGGCACATCGGTCTGAGTTCATGTTGCGGCTCACAAGGCTGAGGCCGCAATCGCTTGCAATCCTACTCCGCCTAAGCTAGTCTGCCGCGAACGATGCTAAACGCTAGAGTACCCTGTCAGGCTAAATTCTGGGTGTAGCATAGATACGAAGCACTTTGCTCTATTCAGTTCTACTTCCTGAACTGAATGGGGGCGGTGTCAGCAATTCTTCCTTGGCGCAAAAAGCACAGCACAGCAAGGCTGAAGATTGAAGTACTCCGACCCGCCGCAGCATCCAACGCCAATGGCATCAGACTCATTAAAGATGGACGAAATTCCTGTTAAGAAAACTTCTCGGGCTATACAAGCTGTCGGCCAGATCACATCAGCCACTTCAAGTACTCTAGAAGGACCGACTTCAAATGGACTTCAGATGCTCATGGCATACAACATCAGGCGAGAATACACACTTGGCACCTGTGCATAATGACTCGGCCCCAAAGCCACGGCGTCGGAGTCGACATGAGCTTTGATCATCTCTACAATTCCGGCGATGTCTCTCGATCACACCATCAGCATGCTATGCTGTGTGATATTGGGGCCCAGCGTCGTTGATTGGCAAAGATGCATGCACAGTGCCTCTTGATAGCCGCAAGAGGCTCGATTAAACCTCACATTCGCTTTCCCTTGCTCTGTCACGGATATCTGGTCGGCAAATCCGACCACCATGGGAATGCCTTGACATTCTCACCCTTCAGGTCAGGCTGAACAAACGAACATAAGTAGAGCATGGTGCTCGCAATCATGGAGCGGAATCCAGCCTGAGACTATCCTCGATTCCTAAGATCTATCGACATCTGCTGGAGTTTCCCGGTCAAGTCTCCCCCAACGCCCACAGTTCATTCCTCTTCGAATAAATACCCTCCTGCCTTCTCTACTATGTCTTCCTTCACCCTACAGAAAGCACTGCTATCCCTCCTGCTCCTAGCAAACGTTGCTATCGCCGTCCGCTTCAGTTTCACCATCCAGGAAGTACACGTCGGCGTCACCCGTGACTTGCAAGAAGACGACCTGCTTCTCGCCATCGCCTCAACAGCAGGCAGCAACACCATCAAGAACTCTTGGCTTGTTGGCGAGGTCGAAGCCGATGCTATCGTTGCGGCAAACGATACCGTCAAGTACACGCAGGAGATCGATGTTCCCGATTCTGCTTCGAACCTGTCTGTAGCCATTGGTGGCTTGAATACCGATGATGAAGATGAGGAGTTGGCTTTCAGTAAGCAGTTCGTCGATATGTGCCCCATTACTACTAACGCTTTACCAGACTTTGTGGAAGGCATAGCCGCCGTCGCTGCCGCAATCCCAGGTCCGCAAGCCCTCCCAGCTAGACTACTCAGCATCGTGCTCGGTGTCATCGGAAACCCCTTAAACTGCACCGGTCCAGTCATCGTTGGTAATGCTCTGTATACCAAAGACCAGATGGACGAGCTTGAGCAGAACAAGCCCACATGCGACACAAAGGAGTACGGATACGACACCCCATTCGCTTGTGCACCTACCGGTCAAAATTCGAGCTACAGTGTCACTTACTGCCTTGAGCGGCTTGACGCCAAGTCTGCCGCAGCTGCCAGCTCACCGAGTCTGGCTGCTCTGGTTATGAGCATTGCGGGTGCTATTGTCTACAGCGGTTTGTGAAAGTGCAGCTGGGGTGTCGAATGGAACGCTGTAAAGGAAGCTCGTTGAGTATACTTGCGTTTCTCCAAAGGGTGGAGGAAGGCTACGCAGCCGCGAAGTCTCTCAATGTTACAACCTCTTCCTTCGGCTCTTTTGTTCTCCTTCATAGATATTGGCCTTGTGGTTGACAGATACACCGTCGCTATAGCAAAATACTAGAACCCTTTCTTGTCGAGCAGATCGCGGAGATATCAGAAACGAATGACCCAGAAGTCTAAACCGCCTTGCAATTCTATTCTTCCAGGTTCTTAAGCTGACTTAGACTGCAGGGCACATGTCTAGTTTCTTCTCTGTATGAAATCAAGTGGAGCTACGGAAGGTGGGCCTGTGTCAGAAGTATGACGTTTCACTTCATGATGTTTTCAATGTATCTCGTATGACGTGTTCAAGCCGCAGGAACAATCTCCATCCACAGGTGACGCCGCTGCTGACAGATAGTCTTCCCAACTACGTAGGTCTCTTTGTCGTACATTCCTGCTTCCAACTCGCATTGTAGGATGCAATGCCTGAGTTGGTGCCCAAATGGAATTGAAGATATAGGCCAAATGAACTAAGTCTCGGTGTATAGGAGACTAGGGAGCATCGAACGACGGAAGACGCTAGTCAGCAGTCATGGTGGGAGAAGTCTCCCAAACTCACGGGGGTGAGGGCGGAGTCAAGTCTAGCGAGGAAGACCAGGGTATCAATTTACTATCTATTCTTTATAAGCACATTACTCCGAGCTCTCAAACAAAACTCAAGCATCAATCTCTGCCCTTAGGTTACCCCGTCCGCGAGCGATCGCATCGCCCAGGTCCATGTTCGAGGCTTGTCCACGCACGCTCGAAATGAAACGGCGTCCTCCATCCATGTTCTTCTTGTGCTTCTCTTCCTCCTCTGCGTCCTTGATTTCTTGTAGTCGAACACGCTCGGCCCGCTGCTCCTCTAGTGATGTCGCCTCTGCTTGCATTGCAGCTAGGCGGTCAGCAGCGCTCTGACGGGCTTCCGTATCATCGGCTTTGCTCTCGACTTGTTTTTCGACTTGTCTTCTCGGTGGTGTACGATCCCGTCGTCGGTAGGTGTCGCGGTCGCGAAGATCGCCACGATCTTCCCTCCTGCGTGGTGACCGAGTGCGGTCTCGTCGACTGCTGTGCTTGCGGTATGGTGATCGTGAGCGGGATCTCGACCGTCTACGATGGCTGTCACGATGGCTGTCGCGGTCGCGACGATCTTCTCGGTCTTCTCTTCTACGTGGCGACCGCGATCGGTGACGCCGACTGCTGTGTTTGTGCTCGCGCTCGCGACTCCGCTCCCTCTCCCGATTCTTGTGTTTCTTTTCTCGCTCCTTCTCTTTCTCGCGCTTTTCGGCGTATTTAGCCTCTTTCTGTGCGTCCTTCATGGCCTTCAACTGCATCTCCATTTTCTGCTTCTGAATCATGAGGAGCGGGTCTTGGAGGACCTTCTTCTGTGTGTCGCGAGCAGTGTTCGCATTCGTGTCGGCCGTGGCGGCGTCGATGCCGACAGCAGCGCCTTTCTGAAGGCTCTGTGTATCGTTCGACTTCAGCAGGTTGTCGATCCTGCGTTTGCCCAAAAGGTAGCCCTCACGCTCCTCTGTGACGCCGGCATCGCCACTCGGGCCTGAATACATCCAGTCAACCCTTCGCTGTACGACCTTGCCGCCATTCTCAGCTTGCAGTCTCTGCAGCTGCTCGATTGCCGCTTCTTCTTCACGTTCCTTGCGCAACTTCTCGATCAGTTTGCGCTCCTCGAGCGCAGACTTCTCCTCCTTCCACACTCTCTCCTGGTTTTTGCGCAGATGGGGATGCCACGACTTCTTCAAATTGAGATCTCCTCCCATGGCTGCGAGAGGTGTGGTGTGTGTGCGGGTAGGTGAAGTTTGTTGGTGGGTTTGCGAGAAAGGTGTGATGCGCGAGTAGGTGAGCTCGCTGGTGGGTTTGCGAGAAAGGTGTGATGCGCGGGTAGGTGAGTTCGTTGGTGGGTGTGGTGGGTGTGGATGTCAAAAGGTGATGGAGGCTGGCAGATGAGTTGCGCGACAAAGTGCCAAGGCGCTAGGTCAGGCCCCACCCAAAAGTTGACCTCCGCGACTTCTCCGCAAAAGTTTCGAGCGAACGAATGCGCCCGTATACAGCCCGAATATCCACGTCACGACAGGCGTCTCCCGGCCAAAAGACTGTTACGTACTCCGAGAAGAGTTCATCATATTGCTACCAGCGAAAGAATTACTTCCCGCGCAACAATGGCGACGCGCAAACGAAACGAATACCTCGACGTTGAGGAAAGCGAAGACGAGGAGAGAGGCTATGACTCTGAGGAGGAGAGCAGAGCGCGCATGCTACCTACATCAAAGCGGCAAAAAATAGATCACGTCTCCGACTCCGAGGGCGATGGGGAGGAACTGGAAGACGATGAAGAACAAGATTTCGACGAAGACGATGCCGAAGGAGACGACGACGAGCAACACGCACCAAAGCGCTTTGCCTCCAAGAGCGCCGAACTAGCACACCTCGAGAAACTCGCTGCATCCCTTCCCTCTGAAATGAGGTTACAGACCACAAAGCTTGGGAAGGCTCTGCCACCCTCATCACTCAAGAAAGACAAGTCCGGCGTCATATACCTCTCGCGCGTCCCGCCCTTTATGAAACCAGCCGTAATGCGCTCCCTCCTAACACCCTACGGCGCCGTAGGCCGCATATTCCTCACCCCAGAAGACAGTACATCGCGCACCCAGCGCCTGCGCAACGGAGGCACGCGTCGCAAGCTCTTCCTCGACGGCTGGGTCGAATTCCTCCACAAACGCGACGCCAAATTCGTTGCGGAGAACCTGAATGCGCAAACAATGGGCGGAAAGAAGAGGGGCAGGTGGCACGACGAAGTGTGGAATATCCGGTACTTGAGTGGTGTCAAGTGGCACAACCTGGTCGAGCAGATCCAGAACGAGAACGCAGAGCGCGCGGCAAGACTCAGGTTTGAGATTTCACAGGGCAAGAAGGAGAACAAGGCGTTCTTGGAGAACGTGGAGAGAGGCAAGATGGCTAGTGGTATTGAGGCTACAAGGCGGAAGAGAGGGGAGGATGTCGATGGTGATAATGCGGCGACCGAGGCAGCAGCAGCGGTACAAGAGGTCGATGGCAAGCCAAAGAGACGGAAGGGAAGGCTCGAGTTTTCGCAGCATACGGCTACGAGCAAGGCGATGAAGAAGCCTGAGCCGGGTCAGGATGTGAACAGGGTGTTGAGTGGTATGATGTAGAGCGTTCCGCATGATATCCAGGAATACGAGTATATTTCAGACTTGAACCAATGTCCTCAGCCGTTTCTATGATGGAAGTGAGTGCCGTAACGTAATAGTAATAACGCCAAATCCCTAATGCCTTTTTGCATCAAATAACGCCGGCCCTTTGGAGCGCAATGCCAGGGTATAAGTACGATATCGTTGTTTTGCCCCAATTATATCGCGGTTCCTCGCTCGAAGCTGTCCCGTATTTCGCTCGTGTATTTGTTGTAGAAGCGCGAGAGCTTGTCGTTGAACTGCTTGTTCTTCTGGTTGATGTACGTGACATCGCCCATATCCTCGGAGTCACGTATGCCTCTCGCTGCCCTGGCCTTCAACCTGGCGCGCTCGCCCTTCTCTAGATCCTCTACTAGCCTATCCACGGCTTCCTTTGATGGCTTGTGGTCGTGACTGTACGCTTCGTCGACTGGTGTGTTTATGCGCCCTTGATTGTCGACGGTGTAGATTTCTCCAGCATCCGTTTCAACAAGTTGCAGAAGTCCGGAGGATACTTGCGACTGCAGTTTCCTTGCCTTCTCCTCGGCATACGCCTCCAGATCGACCTTGCTCATCTGACCAATCTGCCTCTTGTACACCTTGTTCGCCTCATTCCTGTAGTCGGCAAACGCGACTCCCTCCCTGTTCTTCGACTTCTTCTTCAGCCGCTTGTCCCAGCTCTCGCTCTCTTCAACTGTGTAGTCCCAATTCCTCTTGCGCTCGAAATCAGGGTCTTCGGATTTGAGAAGCTTGTACGAGGCTTTCTCGTTGAGGGCGCCAAGTTTAGAGATCTGCGCGAGGCGAGAACTGCGGTCTTCGGCATCGCGAACCTCGCGCTCTGTCTCTTTGCGCCCGTTTACTTTGGCTGCTTGGAGCGCTTTGAAGCGGGCCATTCGCGCAGCGAGCGCAGCTTTCGGGTCGGGGTTTGTAGTCGCACTGAGAGAGCTATCTTCCGTCGAAGCGGCTTCGTGGACTGTGATCGCATCTTGCGCTGACGCTCCATTCGCGCTCATGGTGTCTGATGCTTCGGCCTTTTCGACTTTCGGCGGTACGGATACGGTAGCGACCTCCTCTTCGACATTTTGAGGGGCTTCGGACGCGGGCGCGGGCGCCGCTTCGTCTACTTTTGCTAGGTCGGCCATGGTGGGTTGTTGTTGCTGTGAGGGCAATCGCTCCTCCGCGAAATGTTGGATTGACGACTGCCAAGCCACTAGCGTGGCTTGCATGCGACAGCCTCGACCCCGGATGAGGCACTCATCACTCCCCAACATCAGGACCAAGGTCGGCGACACACCAGATGTATCAATACATAACTATGGACATGCTCGATGGCCTGTCCGTCGTCTCCCGTCGCGATTCAACATGCGTTCCCGCGTTCCGCCTTGCTTCCCGGTCACATACTACATCTGAAGATCAGTGAGACACGTGCAGCGACATGTCGATCTCGTATTGAGTAGGAAGATCTTGATCATTGACCGCAGTTGTTTTCAGATGCAGCGACGCAACCGATTCTGGGGCCATTCCCTGTGTAATATTCAGGAAAAGATAGTTCCCAGGGAGATCGCACATGGGTACCGACATGGAGTAGACATTGTGGGGGTCTGACCGCTCAGAATATGGCAAAATATCTCGAGGTGGCTTCTCGGAGATTTATATATGATAGCTATAGTACTTTACGGAGGTAAGCACCGGGTAATTCCACCACTCACAGCGACATTGCTCCTCGATCCTACCGCAATGGTGGGGAACATCTTCGTCGTATACTGGATGAACAGGAAGCTTGATCTTGAAGCCATTGTGGGGCTGCTAACTTGTAGTATCCCTGCGGCGTTTCCTTTAACATGGATAAAGGCTAAATGGAGATGATGCTTATACAAAAGCTTCGCCTACCGCGATTCACGGCATATCAGTCGTTCACGAAGATCCCTAGGTGCCTCAGACTCCAGTCATGGCGCTCTCCAGCTACCTCGTCCTGGCGCTGACGACCTTCGCGAGTACACACGCATCCCTACAACCCCGACAATCCTCCACTGTCACCGTCGACTTGACCAAAACCTACCAGACCATAGATGGCTTCGGCATATCGGAAACCTTCCAACGCGCGAACCAAATGCATGCTCTCTCGCCTACACTCCAACGCTACGCCCTTGACCTACTCTTCAACCGCACGTCCGGCGCCGGCTTCTCTATCTTGAGAAATGGGATCGGTTCGTCTCCAGACTCCAGCAGCGACCACATGGTTTCCATTCAACCCACGAATCCCGGGGGTCCGAATGCGACGCCGAAATATGTGTTTGACGGCAATGACAACAGCCAAGTCTGGGTTAGCACCGAAGCAGTGAAAACATATGGGTTGCGCACCGTGTACGCAAATGCATGGTCGGCACCAGGATACATGAAAACAAACAACAACGATGCGAATGGAGGGTCTCTATGCGGGGTGTCCGGCGCCAGTTGTTCAAGCGGTGATTGGAAACAGGCGTATGCGAACTATCTGGTTCAGTACATCACTTACTACAAGAACATCGGGGTGGACATCACGCATCTAGGTTTCTTGAATGAACCTGATCTTACGACGAGCTATGCCAGCATGAGGAGCACCGGGCAGCAAGCCGCGGATTTCATCAAAGTACTACGGCCAACACTCGACAGAGCGAACTTTACGAGCGTAAAGGTTACATGTTGTGACGCCGAGGGATGGAGTAGTCAGCAGAGTATGATGAGTGCACTAAGTAGCGTGAGTAGCCTGTTGGGTACAATCACCGCACAGTAAGTCTTCCCCATGAGGGACAAAATAATCCACTGACCATCATCTAGTTCCTACACATCCCAACCCAACAGCCCAATAACCACCCCCCACCACGTCTGGCAGACCGAAAACGCCGATCTTCAAGGCGCATGGCAGACAACCTTCTACAGCAACAACGGCGCAGGCGAAGGCCTAAACTGGGCGAACAAAATCCACACTGCCCTCACAACCGCCAACGCTTCCGCATATCTATACTGGATCGGCGTCCAAGGCGGCGCAACAAACAGCAAGCTAATCCGTATCTCCGATGACAAGACGTCAGTCATACCGAGTAAACGCCTCTGGGCCTTCGCGAACTGGAGTAGACATGTGCGACCGGGTGCTGTGAGGGTGGGTGCGAGTGGTGGGCCAAGTGGGAGTCGGGTTAGTGCGTTTAGGAATGTGGATGGGAGTTTGGCGGTGCAGGTCATCCAGGAAGGGACGGTGACGGGTCCCGTTACGGTTCAGGCAAGTGGTTTTGTTGCTAAGACGGCGAAGGCGTGGATCACGGATAATGGGCATGATTGCGATGAAATTGCGGTCACAGTGGCGGCGGGTGGGGGTAGTGTTAGTGCGCAGGTGTCGGGGAGGAGTATGGTGACTTTTGTGCTTAGTCCGGCGGCTTAGTTGAGGGGTTATGCTATAGTATGGAGATGGCGGTATTGACTTGTTGCAAACATATATTTGGTGAAGAAACATCGATATCTGTTACTCTTTCGTACACTGCCAATCTCACGTTCCCTCAATTAAGGTCAGCACAGATAAGTCGCTACAAGTCCGTCAAAGTTCCGTTACTGTACGGCTCAACCATGAATCATAACGGAGTATATATAAAACAACTTCCTACCACACAGCTACGTCTAGATAGGCTCATCTCTCGGCTCAATAAGCACCTCGTTCACAGAAACGTGATCCGGCTGCTTGAGCGCATACACAATGCACTCAGCAACATTCTCTGGATCCAAAACCTTCGCGCCAGTTGGCTCACCAAACTTCTTCAAAGCCTCCTGATCTGTGCTCATACCCAACAAGTCTGTCGCCACGTTTCCAGGCTGTACAGCGGTAACTCTCAGCCCAGTCCCAGCAGTCTCGAGCCTCAAGCTTTGAAGTGTAGCTTCGACGAAGAACTTTGATGCCGAGTAGACGCCGAGGCCAGGGAAGACCTTTCGTCCAGCATCCGAGGAGATGGCAAGAAGGTGGCCCTTTCCGCGCTTGAGCATCGAGGGTACGATGGAAGAGATGACGTTGAGGAGACCCTTGCAGTTGACGTCGACGGTTTGGTTCCATTGGTCTGTGTATGTGTTGGCCATCATGGTGAAGTACATCACTCCCGAGACGTTCACGAAGATATCGACGGGTCCAAGTTGGCTCTCTGCTGCGGCAACGAGGGCCTCGACCTGAGCCTTGTCCGTGACATCAGTCTTTTGCGTAATGACCTTGCCTTCGCGGATCACGAGGCGTTTCTTGAGGTCTTCAAGGGCGTCGATTCGGCGTGCTGCGAGGGCGACGTGGCAACCCTCTCTGGCGAGAGCAGTGGCGGTGGCAGCGCCAATTCCGGATGATGCGCCCATAACTACGGCAACCTTACCGAAAAGAGGACCTCTTCGTGGAAGCCTAGCAGAGCCACCAGCAGCATCCTGGTGCGCGGGCGGCTTTGGAAGCCAGCCACGTGCATACCAATGTCGTGTGTATGTCTCAAGTAGTGTTTGGTCCACCTTCGGGCGCTCGACTGCGAGGCGCAGCGGCCTGGTCTTCGCGTTATCGAGCACAACAACATCCCTCAGGAACTCGACGCTTGGCATACCGCTTCGGAGGATATCGACTGTGAAAGCTCCATCACCACCCTTGGCAGAACCTCGCTTGTCGTCCCAGAGGCTGGTCCACTTTTCAAAGTCCATCGGCTGGGTTGGGTATCCTAGTGCACTAAGATCTTCGAAGACCTTGCTAATATCAACTGGGTCAGGGTCTCCAATATGGAACATCGTTTGGTCGGTCTCGGTCTGGTTGCTAAGGTGCATTATGGCCTTGCTGACGAAGTCGACTGGGGTCATCTCCGCGCGCCAGCCCTTGACATCGGGGTAGTAACCGATTCTAATCGACTCGACAATCATGGCCGTCAATAGATCCCATGCGTTGGCAGCACCTGTCTCACTATGACCACTAATGGTTCCGAGACGGTGAATCTTGATGGGAAGACCCCTTCGGCCGGCCTCTAGAGCGAGCTGCTCAGCAACCCATTTAGTCTGGCCGTAACCATCAGCTAGCTTGGTAACATCGTCGACCTCCAGCATGGCGTCTTCTGACCATCCTTCGCGACCCTTGGCAGGCAGAAGTACTCCGTTGGTGGAGATGTACTGTACGGTAGCACCGCCCTGAGCGGCAAGACGAAGAACCTCTCTTGTACCGCCAACGTTGGGTTTCTGCAGCGCAGCGTAAGGGTAAACTAAGTTGACGGTGGCAGCTGCGTGGACAATTACGTCGAGACGGTCAGCCAAGGCCTTGAATGTGTCCGGAGCGAGACCGAATCGTTTACGCGACAAGTTTCCAGGAAGAATTTCGACACGTTCCATGATGTTGTCGCTCCACAGACCAAAGTCCAGCAAATTCCTACGTATTCTAGCAATACCAGCGGGTATGTCGTCTTGCGAGGAATCAGCGAATCGGACCATGCACACGATCTGGGCAGATGTGGTTTCGAGAAGATCTCGGAGTAGGAACGCGCCCAGGAATCCAGTGACACCAGTGAGTAACACAGTCTTCGCATCTTTAAGCGCACACATCTTGGCGTCATTCGGCTGGATCTCCTTCTCAAGTACAGCGTCTGCTCGTAGAACGGCGGGCAGGTTCTCCTGGACCTCGGCAGTGTGGCCATCCCGGATAGCTCGAACGGTATCTAGGTGGCCATTGAGAGTTGCTGGAGTGGCGAGGCGCGCGACCGGCACCCTGAATCCGAAAGTGTTCGACAGACGCGCGGCGAGATCGGCAAGGAGTAGTGAGTGACCACCAAGATCGAAGAAGTTGTATTCAGGAGTGATGGAGCTGGGGCTGATGCTCAATATAGATGCCCAAATCTGGGTAATCTGTTCGATGGAGATGGGGCTCTGCTCGAATTTTCGTGCGCTTCCTGTAGGGGATGCAGGTCGAGGAGGAGGAAGTGCCTTGAGGTCGACCTTTCCAGACACATCGCTTCTTGGAAGACTATCCATCTCGACCCATAGTGCAGGTATCATGTAGTGAGCAAGGTATGCCATCAGCATGCGCCTGGCGGTCGAGCTGCGGCCTGTTCGGTCAATCTCGACTTCTGGACGTTCTGCAGACGCCTCCTTGTCCCGCACGATGTACGCAACTAATTGTCGATCGATGCCTTCTCCGAAAGGTACGACAGCGCAGTGGCTGACAGCCAAGTGGTTGAGAATTGCGCTCTCAACTTTTCCTGGTACCACGGAGTATCCGCGGATCTTGATCATCGCGCCAACACGTCCAGTGATCTCAAGCAAGCCATTCGATAGGAGACGTGCCTTATCACCAGTCCTGTACATGCGAGCACCGGTCTTCGAGCTGTAAGGATTCCGAATGAAAGCTTTAGCGGTGGTCTCGGGGCGGTTAAGGTACCCTCGAGCAAGCAAATGTCCTCCTACGCAGAGCTCGCCATTTTCTCCTTCGTCCACCTTTTGGCCACTCTCGTCCACGATGTAGATGTATTTCCTGTCAACGAGCGGCGGTCCTACAGGGCAGTAGGCAGCATCCGTGTCCAGCTTCTCGAGCATGTCCTTGATATCTCCGCAGGCGATCTCATGGGTTTCGCATGCACTGTATACATTGAGTAGGCGGGTATTAGGTAGAGCTTTGATACCACGACGTGCAAGGTCGGTGGTCACAACTTCGCCGTTAAGCCAAACAGTCTTCAGGTTTGGCAGGCGCGTCTCCAGCGCTTGGTGACGAGCAAGAACGGCAGAGAAGAGCGTTGGTGTGAAAAGAGTCTCGGTGATCTTCTTAGACGCGAGTAGGTCAACGAGCATGCGCGGGTCGTAGCTGGCCTCGTCCGGTACAGCAACAACAGTCGCACCTCGCAACAGCGGGCGAAGAATTTCCCAAACAAAGAACACATTGCAGGCCACACGGTCGCCTGGCTGTATGTCTGAGAGTCCAAATCGAAGGTTATATGAGAGAACCGCCGCTCGGTGTGGGTTGGCGATGCCTTTCGGCTTGCCAGTCGTTCCACTGGAGTACGCGACAAAGGCCAAGCGGTCTAAATCGGTCTCCTCCGGCAATGGCTTCAACTCTGACTCGCTCAACTGGCCGTTGGTAGCTGAACTGGTTTCATCCAGAACAACAAGCGGAGTGCTTCCCTTGATCTTGCCGACTTCGGCGCTGATAGTAACCACGACGGTAGGTTGAGCATCCTCTAGAACATCCGCAAGGAGGTCGGGAGGGTAGGCCAATTCCAGGACCAAGAATGCACCGCCGGCCCGTAGGGCTGCTAGACAGGCGATCACATAGTCGGCGGATCGCGGCAACAGGACACCTACCAAGCTGTCACGGCCGACGCCATGACCCCGCAGCCGGTCGGCGAGGGCAGCGACTTTGTCGTGGAGCTCCTGATAAGTGTATGTATGCTTGTCGTCTTCCAAAGCAATCAGATCCGGGGTAGCTTGGACCTGTTTCGTGAAAAGTGCCGAAAGGTCCTTGGTAGTGTCGATGACAGACATGGTCTGTAATTTTCCAAAGGAGGGGCAAATGAAAAGTCAAAGTTTGCGAGTAAAGGGTACCCAACGTCTTATTTATTGAGTTGTACACCCCATAAGTCGGATCGATAGCCCTCGTTGAGTGATGCAAAGCGTGGGGAATTTGGCTCGTTGAGGATGAGGTGGTTCGCTAATTCCTTCGCGCATCATGGCACTTTCCTTGTCTTGAGGTGGTGCCGAGAGGCCTGCCGATAACGTCATTTGCTAGCGTTAACTAACAATCCAACAACCCCATATCATTGCTCAGTGATGCGCATCGTTGGGGCCGTCGGAAAGTCGCCTTTGGCTGGTTGGTTCCTTGTTGACAGCTTGCATGAACACCACCCGGGTTACTGCCGACACAGTGTGGCCGCCTGTCGGGTAGTCGCTCCATAGCGTCAGTCTAGAGAACTCGTAGTGCCTTTCCACTGGAGAAGGAAAGGTCGCGCAGTTTCTGCTGAGACTTTCGGGGGCATCAATGGAGACGTGTGCATGCGGGAGGCGTTGTGGGGGTGTTCAATTCCACCGGACAAGAGCCGTGGCACGTCTCTATACTGTACACGGTCAGCTTGACTAGACGATCGGAAGCGCATTTTGTGTTTCATTTCCATTTGATCCCGCATCGCCCTCTTAAGCTATTCTGCGTTGTAGAAGGCTTCGGTGCTCATGCTGATCGCTGGGCGAGACGTGATGAAGACACCAGGGGGTCTCAGTCGTTCAAATAAGCATCGCAATGCGTAGTCATGTACCAATAGCTCGGTAAAAACTGGACTGAGGATATGCAACTTACTGTTAGTCGATTTTAGGACGTTGATATTGTCCAGCTGAGGTTCTGTCGGCGTACAACATGTTCGCGGGTACAAGGCGCACCCAGAGGCTATGCCATGTAAAAGTACGTTGCGTGGGTGATACATTTTGATAGACACAACGCTATGAGCACAGTGGCGCTGTTCAAGTTATATAAGAAGGAAGACCAGTGTCGAGGTCATGCCCGAGGAGCGGGTGCGGGGAAAGACGCTAGGGCGCGGTACCAGACGCACGTCAGCCTTGCGCGAGATTGACGAAGTCCGTGTGGTTCATCGCCTAACCGACGTGTCTACCAAATGATTTCATTGTGCTACATACTTGAGGAACCGTGAACTGCTCCGGTGCTTCATCTGCGCTCAACCCTGCCACTTTGTACGCCTCTGGCGGAACATTGATACCATACCGATGGGCAGCAGTCCGAAGTCAACTACATTGAGGCCACCGAACTTACCAATCATGTCCGGGCCGTACATTTGTGCGATCCACTTCCAGTACGCATCCATAGTATACCAGTCTGCGGTGATGCCAAGTAAGTTGCTCTGGCCCTCGAGTTGCTCCAGCGCTTGCAGGACCTGTTCACTGTCGTCGATGGGCTTTTCTTTCGGGCGCTCGAGTAGCTCCTTGTAAATCTCCGTCAAACCTGCTTTACCAACGGCAGAAAACGTCTCGGGGTACTTGGTGAACTCCTCAAAGGGCAGGAATGTGTTGGGGTCTTCAGGCTGCCAGTTCGCGTCCTGGAAACCGCGGCGCACATTATGCCGGGTGCCCTTATCAAAGGCGCGCTTGATGTTGACATAATCATTGTGCAAGTTCTCTTCGTATTCATCCAACAGATCGTACGGGTTCTCTTTGACCGAGTCTCGGATTTGTAAGGGTCCAACAAATGGGGACTTCAGATCAAGACCCCCAAGCTCGACCGGGAAAAAGAGAAACCCGTCTGGCACATCTTCAACAGAGAAGCGCTCTTTGATGATTGTCTTGAGATGTTGTACGATGCTGCCATCAGGGAAAATGCTATCCTGGATATGGCGATGGGTCGCAAGCATCATGTCGACATGTTCGCGGCCGAAGCAGTTGGAAGCGGTCCCGAAATTGGAACTGAAGAACGTAGCCGCATACGAGTTCTGTTCCCAATGGTTAGAGACTGCGATAAGAGACCAGGGGGATTTCAGTACTTACCCAGACCTGAATATAGTCGATGACGCTCTTCAGCTTTCCTTGCAGTTGCGTGCGTAGCTCTTCCACATGACCATCGACCATCTTCTGATCGATCTTGAACTGGCCACTCTTTGGGTCAAGCTGCAGAAATCCCCATCGAATCTCACCTTCCGGGAGCCGATCGTCAATCTCAGCATCGGAGTCGCGTGAGATGCGAACACTGCCTGTCTTCTTGTGGTCAAGCTATAATTGTCGTCAGTTGAATCAACATGAGTAGATTTAATCAGGAGACCGACCTTAGTTCCCGTTACTTCTGTGAATTTGACGATACTTGCCCAGGCTTTGGCACACGTGTTGTAGTCCCTGTGCCAGAACCAGGCGTTATCACCAAGACGGTATAGATCGGGCCCGCTGGCGGCTTGGTTGGCTGCGTAATCCATGCAGAATAGCACTGCCTCCCCCAAAGTATCGCTAAGAGCGTGTGAGCCTGGCATGCCTCGACGGCGTAAACGCGGCTCAGCGGATGGGTCATCATTGAACTTCAGAGGTGCCTGAAGGTATCGCTCGAAGAACTTCTTCCACCTATCCGAGACGCCAAGAAAGTCTAGAACCGTATAAATGGTCTGATGTGGCAGTAGTGAATTCCACGAGTCAAAAGTCGTAGAGAAGCAGGTCAGTCCTCCATGCAGTCTTGTGTTCAAAACAATTTCGGTGGACAAGAGATGAAGTACGCCTTGCTTTGCTTCCATAGGCTTCTTCGACTGACTTTTGTGCACCTCATCTTCCCAGTCGCACGCGTCGCGATCTCTGTCGTCTTCGTCTACCTCCGCTTGGGCGTTCCCTCCAAACAAGCCGGCACCGTTACGCTGATTAGGCGCAGCGGCTCTAGCCGAGCTAGAGCTAGTAGCCTTTCTTGCTGTCTGCTTTGTCCTCCCTCCCTGGGTGCTGGCTAGTTGGGATAGTTGGCTTACACTTCCTCCGCTCGGTTGTTGAATTGTGTTGAAATGGTATTGCATTTGGTTGTCAGCCATTTCCCGTTGCACGTTGGGTTTGCGCTTCTTGGCGACGTAGTCCCCATACTCGGCTTCCTCTTCACCATCTTGTGCCTCGACTTGCTGTGTATCATAGTCCAGTAGCTGGTAAGCGAAATATCGGTTGTGGTGTGTGCTCATCCGCTTCTTCTCGACACTGGACTTAGTGTCCGTGCCTTTGTCGCCCAGGAAGTACGATCGGCGTAAACGGTCAACTTTCGGGACCTCTGTGGAGTTTCTCGGCCAGGCTTGGTGCTTGTGCATGGCCAAGAATGCGGACTTGAAGAAGACAGACCTAGAAGTTATTCAGTTAGCATTCGTTTGTGCATGTCTTGCGGTAGCAGTCGACCTACCATTTTACACCGACGTAATGGAGGAAGATCGCCTGAAGAAGGTCCGGATCGAAGTGGATAGAGAAGTCGCCGTTGATCTTCCTTCGCTGCTCTAGTAGAACATGCGGTCCCCAAGACCAGCGATCGAGAGATGCCATGCGTACGTTGAGAATGTCGCACAATTCGGCGAGTATCACATCTGCGGGGTTGTTAGCTACCAGATATTTCTACGAAGAATGTATACTTGCCGTTACCGAGGAAGTCCCTGAGCGCTTCTCGCTTCTCATTCGAAAGAAGATCGGAATTCAGAAGGCCTTCGATGGTGGAGCGAAGGCTAGTGGGGTTGAACGGTGTCGAATAGTTCAGATTAGCCTCGAAGTTCTCGACTGTCTTGCGCAGCTCGCGAATGGCAGCGGAGCTGTCTTTCTTGTTCGCCTGAAACAACTCATCAAGATAGGACCTCAGTGCTTGCTCGTCTACTTCGGCCGCTTGGAAGACGTCTTTCTCCCATGCGGCGCGGGACGCCAGCTTTTTAGCACCAGGCACTTCTTCGAAGCTCTCACCCATTTCGACATCGCCATCGTCTGTTGTAGACTTTTCAGAAGAAAGCCATTCAGTGACGAGCTTGCCGTAGAGGTCGGCGTACTGGTACTTGGTCGACTGAATGGAAAGATACCGTAGAAGGGTCTGTTCCCAATCTGAGAGGACCTTATTCGACACAGAGGGATCGAAGCGGGCCTGTTCGACGAAGCGATCGAGGTTCTTGAGATCAGTCTCGAGACGAAGGTTCCTGGATGTTCCGCTGATAACTCGACCAACTCGCCCATCCTTGGTTTTCTTCTCCGTCTGGAAGCCCAAACAAGTTTTCGAGCCATCGAGAAGAAGACATACGCGCTTCAGTGGGTCTGCTTCGGCTTTCGCGGCGGTGATGAGTGCAGCATACTCTTCTTCAAATACTGCGCGCTGCTTCGCAAGTTCTTCGAGCTTGGTGGTTGTGATGGTCTTGAGCGTCGCCCCAAACACACTGCCGGACGACGTCGCCATGGCTAAGTCTGACGCAACTGTCTCGAATGAGGAAAATGGATGAGTGGTAGGCTCGAAAGACTGGCCGAAGAAAGGGCGTGCGACGACTGGGTTCAGTAGTGGTCGCAAAGACTGGTAAAAGAAACCACTGGGAACGTGGTTTTTCTCACTCGATATATTTCGAGGGAGGCAGGCTTGCTCTTATATATAGTGATAGAATTGCACTGCTGCATACTGAGTGCAATTCTTACCTAGCCAGTAGGCAGTAAGGCAGGCAATAGGCAGCAAGCGCTTGGCAGGACCGTGCCCCAATTCAGTCCGTAATGCGGGGTACGCCTGGATTTAAGCATCCTGACAACTTTGGAATTGACAGGACATGAAACTGATGCCACTACACACTGAAATCTCGATGTCCAATTTGGTGAAGGTGGCATCGTGGAAGAAAAATAGATGGAGTCCTTGAGATTAGCTCGAAAAGGGAGCGTCTTGACTTTCCTATCGATAAGCGCACAGACCAACCATTGCCTCTATCGCATTCTCGACAGTCCACCGTGCCACTCAACCCCTCATCCAACATACTCCAACTTATTAGGCGGCCACCTTCTCATACATAGCTCTCTGAAACAGTTCATGCAGCTTCAATATGCGCGGGCTCATCGGCGGGATGACCTGGCAGAACGCCACACCGCAGACCCCAGCTTCGAAGTCGAGATACCAGGTCAAACTAGGAACGCCGCCCCAGAAGACTGTCCCAGCATCCATACGTCCTTCCTGGCCTAGCTCGGCTATCATTCCAGCGAACGGCCATTGCTTCTCGATATCCTCAGGCAGACCCATACCCAGAAGCTGCGTGTGAAGAGGTGAAGACTTGAGGTAGTCGTTCAGCTCATTCTTGCACCGCTCGTCGAGCTGCGGTTTGAAAAGTTCTGTCCAAGAGTTCTCGCTCAAAATTTTGGGGTCGCGCTTCAAGACTGATTGAAGGAAGGTGAAGTAGGCGTCTGCGCTCGCGAAAGCACCCACACCTCCCAGGCAGTCTGTGGCATCGACGAAAACGTCGAACCCTCCAGCATCCGTTGCCGGGCCCTCACCTTGCTCATTCAATGTGCTGATGTTCGCTACGCGATCCTTCATATCGGACCTCTCTTCTGGGAAAAAGCTGATGCCTGTTATTCCAAGAGGATCCCAGATCTTCTCCTTCATGACAGCATCGAGTCTCTTCCTCGACACTTTCTCGATGACCTTGCCGGCCCAGTCCGATCCTGGGCCATATTTGAAGCTGGTGCCTGGTTCGTAGAGAAGCGGCAGGGTATGTTTCTCCTCAACAGTCGGCCCACAAGACGGGGTCTCTCCGCGGCTTGCGCGCCACTTCCCCAGATCAAGGTTGAGCCAGTCATACTCGTGGCCATTCGTGTGACTCAGAAGCATCCTGTTCCGGTCAGTTTCTCAGCAGCTAGTGCATTAGTACAACGCTTGCCTCAGGGTGATCGGCGTGGTGTTCGGCACAGTGACCGCCTCATTTGTCTTTTCGTCGAAGCTCGTTATGATGCCGTACTTCCCAATGCTAGGCAAGTACTTGGCCACATCTTCATCGAGAGTGACTAGTCCCTCCTCAACGCACTTCAACGCTGCCACTGCGGTCATGAGCTTCGTCATTGATGCGATCCCGCATATTGTATCGAGTTGGAAAGGACGTGTCGAGCCTTCCGCAAGTGACTGAACACCTTTCGCTCCAGAGTACAGGGTTTTACCTGCTCTATCGTTAGATCGCTGTTACCTTGTGCCAAGGATGATTACGAACCGTCCTTGTTGCCCGCGAGAAGAGCATATCCAGGAAGAATCTTGTCTGCGATCGCCTTTTCGTACGCCTTTTCGAAGTCTGTCATGATGGCGATGGGTTCACTTTCGGACCACCAATTATCAACATGAGCAATGACTTTGAAGTCATCTTTATATCTACAACATATGTTGCGGATAATCAAGGCGTTGGCAAGGCGTATTGCAAACCGTAGGATTGCTGACTGCATGGTCAGAACCATCGCTACTCAGCCAATCATTGACGTGTTGGTCTAGAAAAAGACAACTATACTTCCATCTCTGTTAGGAGTTCGTTGCAAACCAAGAATCAAACCAGTGCAGCGCATATACAGTACCTCCACGTGAAGTACATGCACCGACGCTGACACGCGACACAGTGGGGCTGCTTCGCGGGTACAGTACACCACCTGCACCCTCCTTAGACCTCTATACTTCGGCTTGAGCGATGCACCACGCAGCCTCTACGAATCGCTCGATGCATTGTCGCAGTGCCCCTTTGTCCGAACAACTATTCCCAGAATACGCAAAATAGGCGATTGCTACGACAATTGCCGATCACATTGGCGCGAGCATACCTGGGCAATGCGCGGGTGTCGGGAGAAGAAGGAACTGAAGGGAGGCGGCTCTGCAGTCTGCGTTAATATCGAAGATGAGTACCGGCAAAATCGAGTGCAATTCCTAGGTTGTTATTTCTACTATCCTATGGGTGTAAAATTGTTCTCTTGACCGTGAAGAGTCGTAAGCTCGTTGCGCACGCCCGGGAGAAAAGACGACCCCCATGACCCCCAGTGCCGCTCTTCCGTAACACCCGTGGCCTAAGCCCGTTCCAAGTCCCACAGGCGCTCGCTCCTCAATTTCCCCGAAAGTCAACCGAGTCATCGTTCGTCTAGGCGCTGAGCGTTGAAGCCACGCGACAAACACGTTCGGCATTGCCGTAGTGTAAGGCGGCACATGGCAACGCTTTCTTTTTTGGCGTCTGGAGTTGTGTTTGGATGGGGAGAGCTGATCGGCTGGCCTGCCGAGTCAGGACTGAGGAGGATCGCCTCATTCGTGTGGACCCGTTTTTTATCGCTTTCTCGATTCCGCGATGCTCCGCGGTACGATCATGCGGCTCCATAGGCCCCAGTCTGGGCATGCTGCTTGTGTGGTCTTGGACGCGCGTGTGCAGGCGTCGCCGTACATTGGGGGGTAGGCACGAAGACCTGCTTGACTCTTCGTCTGAAGAAGTATGTTGTTGGATTTGTCTATTGGTTCTGATTGTATTATTTCGTAGTTCTCTAATGTGATGTGGCTTTCGTGACTGTGTTCAGTTTGCGCTTTTTCGGGTGGTGTACCCCTAGTCTTTCAAGGCGCTTGATCGTTGCTCGACGCTTCTGGTAACCTGTATGCCTCCGCCTTTCACAGGCAGTATGTATTCCTCGCTCCCAGTACTGCCTTGCCCATGGACCATGTTGACCATCTGGCCATCTTCCAAGGCAACCCACTCTTCGTCTCTTCCACTCAGACGACTCTTTATGACTGGTCGTTTCGCATAGCCTGCTGCAGGCGTGTGGGGATGTGAGCTACCGCTGCTTCCGAGTTTGAGTACGCGCTGGAGGAGGGGACGAAGTGTGGCGACGCATCCTACGATCATGCCGACGCCATTCTCGGCGTAACCCCAGAGGATCACCTTAGATACACCATCTGCAGGATTGGTCAGTACGTTTGCCCGGTGGGAACAGAAGGATATGGGAACTTACGAAGGTAGTCGGTCGCATTGGTCAGATTAACAGTGTAGACAAGACGAATGCATGCTGAAAGACTTGCTCTGTGGAGCATTAGACGGTGATCTGGTTCCCAAGAGATAAGCGAAACTTACAATGCACCGAGACCGAGAATCACGCCGACCGAAAGCTTAGCATTACGGTTCAACTGTACGTTCCAGAGCAGCGGTATGGGTAGGAGTGCGCAAAACCAATCCGTCGCAATGTTGACTGCAGTCGTCGCGTAGTATATGTCGGCCAGTGTCTGCGCTGGATTGCACTTTCCACCAGGGGTCGAGGTATCCCAAGCGTACGACACCGGCGCGCACTGGAAAATGATGTACAGCATCGCAATCAGGTTCATGACGATGAACATGGCTGAAACAGTGTACAAGCTGTAGATGTAGGCTTTTCTCCGGGATGCGATGCGAATGAGCATGAACGAGATGCTCATCTTGATAGGGATGATCGCTGCACAGTAGAAGACCTCGAAGAAGAAGAAGAACTACATGGTTTAGCATGGAGAAATTACAGAGTTAGAGATAGGTGTAAACGTACCTCCATCCCTTTAACTTTCTCCTCTGCGTTGAGGTTGTCGTCGTGGACCCCGACTCCGCTGAAGGCGCCCCCAATGCATGCTATTGTCAAGCCAGTAAAGGGGACCTGCGTCATTCCTGTCAGTTGAGTTGTCTTGTATGGAATCCTCGAGGTTGACTCACAGTTGCAGCTGTCATGCTCCAGTCATCCAAACCCCAAGCATTGTTGTGTAGTCGCGTATAGACTCGCAATCCGAAAAGAATATAAGCAATAACTGCCAGTGCGATGACTGAAGCAGCAAGCTCAGGAGCGTTGTCGCCGTAGTAAGTCATGTTGATACCCTTACGCTGATAGCCACGGCTTCCCAGAGCGCGAAGTGGGGAGCGAAGGGATGAAGTATGCAGAAAAGATGCAAAAGAAGGACTAAGGAAGGAACATGTGGAAACACATCAGGATGCGATGCAAAGATGCATATGCTTCAGGACATTGCGAATAGTTGTGAAGCAGACCCAAGCGGAGGCAACAAGCCGACCTGGTTTCAAGAAGGGAAAGAATTGGACGCATATCAACCTGTTTTCGTTGATCTTCCGGGTTTCTCGAGTATCCACATCAGTCCAACAAATAATCTGACAGCTGTGTCGAGCACAAGCCGCCAGAAAGACCCGCACGAGACAGATTTTTGTCGCATTCTGGCATAGCTTCTGAGGCGTAATCTAGGATGCTGCTAGGAAAGTACGGCGACCCTCACCCGACGTTCGTTCCCGTGTCGAGGTTAGATATGGCGTGGGTCGCCTGATGATGTGGAACCGGTGAATGTGGCACGGCTGGACCATATTGCTGGGTGCTGTTACGTGCCTGGCTCCTGAACGGCTCCTATAGATGGACCCTGAAGGATTCGAAATCTTCGCGACTGACACTCGCGTACTCGCCGTCCATGGAATGGCCCTGTTGAGCTGTAGGGGTATTGACATTCTGATACATCGCGCAGTGCAGGATAGATCCATTGGTGATCGTGCGATGTTTCTTGTCATGATACTGGGAGGTGCCGCATTGTCGGGAGTGCATCATCTGGAAAGATCGGCTCTCTCTTCTTCTTAGCTTCTGCACAGTTCTCCGTGCCCGGGCAGCTTGCCGTGAGGCTGCTAGCCGCGACGGCTGATGGACTCGTTGTCGGTAGGGGGTACGGGTAGCGCGTCGCTGGCGAACCTGCGTTAGTCGCGCCTCGCTTGCGAAATGCTCCGCAAAAGGCCCGACTCGCAGACCTTGTACCTTGAATTATCAACTCTCAACCGCTGCACGAATCCTTCGAGACGGCTGGTGATGAAGATGGGCGGATGGAAGGAGCCCATAAGGATAGGAGAGAACATGGGGAAGAGACACGCATGGAACCATCACTTCAATCCCCGTGGACGGCTCGGAGCAGTCATTCCTATCTGAGGTGAGGCGCGTGACCCCAGTTGCTCAACGAACGCGTTGTCGTGCGAGGAATGCACGAGAGCAGGAGTGGCAGAATGGTACTAACAATGGCGTCTGTATGTTATGCCATTGGCCATAGTGCCTGGTGGAGTGTGAAAAGTCGGTGTTTCGACGCGCGACTTCTCCTTACGTACCCAATTGACGCGACCTGCCATGACGTAGATGGGTGGCGCTAGCCGGATGCAGACTTGCCCAGATCCCAGATCCTGCACTGAGAGGCGCGGGCGACTGCCGAGTCGTTCGCTCAGACCTGCCCGTCTCTAGACACGACTGGACCTAGACTTGGGTTCGCATTTGCGCTGGTGGTTTGTTGAGATGGGGGCCAGAGATATACACATCCCAGCAGTTCATGGACACCAGACCCAAATGTACGAGACGTCCCGGGCGCTCCTTGTACATGGCTGAGATGTACCAAACATCTATTTCGATTACCCACTACCATGATAGTCCTTGGCATTTGTTCGTGGATCTCTAAACGAGTAAGCCCCTATGATCGAAATGACCGCGCCCATGGTTTTCCTCCAAGCGCGAGAGTATATCTTCCCACGGCGCTTACTAAAAAATAATTGTATAATTATTTATAAGTTTCTATATAAATAAAAGACTTATAAATTAGTTAGAAAAAAGTCTTTAAAAAAGTTTTTTAAGTTTTTAAAAAAAGTTATAAGCTTAATATAGTTACTATTCTATAAGTAGTATAGTATATACTATAGTACTCTAGATAGAGAAAGTCTTATAAGTAAAGCTATTACCTAGTAATAAGTTTATAAAAAGCTTATATACTTTAAAGAATAATATATCTAATAATAAAAAATAAAGCTAAGATAACTATACTAATAAGATGTCTATATATAGCTATATTCTTTAGCTAATTTTAATAGTACTAAAATATAAAACGTAAGATTAAAAATCTTTCTACTATAAGAATAAACTTTAGTAATATAATTTATAAGTATAATTTAGTATAAAATAAAAGCTAAGAGATCTACTTTTATATAGAGAAGAATAAAGCACTACTTTAGTAGTTTAAAAAATAAAGTAAGAGCCTCTTTATTATTAAGATAAATAAAGTTCTAATAATATTTTAGAAGATAAAATAGCTAAAAACTAGCTAAATAAAAAGATTAACGCTCTAACTATACTTCTTAATAAGATTCTAAAGAGAGATTAGAATTTAAGTATAAGAGAGCTAGCTTTTATAGTAATTATTAACGCTAAAGATAATTAAGTTATTCTAGAAATGCTAGCGTATATATAGGAAGTTTTTAAGACCTATACTAGTTTAATTATTAAGCACGAGTAACAGGTGCTAGGTAGAACTAGCGGTTAGGGTTGTTACATTATTTATCAAAGTTCGGCGCTCACCATCTCTGGAGGCTTTGACCTGCCACGATGCCCTACCAGCGCTACACAAATAGCCTCACACCTTGAACAGGCAAGAAAGCTGATGGGTGCGCTGCTGTCCATTACAGAACTAAAGTTAATAAACCCGTAAGGCAATGCAGACTTCTAGAAGGTCCCTAGGTAGGCATCGAATTCTTTTGCTGCATTAGGTACTTAGACTCTGCCGACCCGATAGTACTGTCATACTTATGGTAAATCTACAGGTTCTTTCTCTCGCGCGAAGCTGTCAAACCCCTCGTGCAAACAAATATCCTGCAATGTCGTTCGTTTCCATGTCTTCACAACGACAGAACGGTTGGTAGGACCCCTTGTACACAACGCTCGATTGTGACCACTCGAACGCGATGGGGAACTGATAGTTTGCTCAGGGTCGAGGTATGTCTCTAGGTCCTGAAACACTTGCGGATGCTGGGTGTATGGCAAGGTGACTGCCATATCGTTCCAAAAGCACCATGCTGAAACCGGGCCCGTCCACATAGATCCAAATGACCTCCTCCCAATATCGACGATCGACGGGGGCGAGACTCCGATCTAAAATGCGCTTCTAAATCCTCAAACGCTCTCGACTGCTGAGTGTACGAAAAGAGAACTGACAAGGGAAGGACTAGGGTGTATTCGGCAGACATATGGATATCGAGATGCGGTGGATAATGCTTGTTATACAAGTCCTGATTGATGGTGTCTGCGCGCCTTGCTTGCAACTGCACGCAGAACCAGTCTGATACTATCTTTCCCGGACCAGGCTGAAAAGACCAACACAATTGTGAGTGGTGTCTTGCTCCGATACAAGGTTGCCAAGTCCTACTATCATGATCATAGTGCATAGGTCCTTCTGAAGACCCACTCGGTTGCTGCCACCACCCTGAATCGTGTCGACAAGCGCAACCATGGAATGGAAATATTCCTTTCTCTGAGTTCGAAGAAACCTCGCTTGAAGACATCAGGCGAGCAATACGACATATCTGCTGTCTCCTTTTCCTGTACCCAAAGTCTACCACCTCAAAGATGATGTTCTGGGGTTCGTTGCCGCAAATGTCATCCATTTTGAAGATAAACACCCTGCTCGCTTGATTCGGCCATGGGCAGTTGGCCTTAGCCCTATCGAAGTCCAGCCTTGAGTTCTCATGCGGAATGATGAACGCCGAGGATATTCGCAGCGTATGGGTGACATATTGTGCCTCCGTCACTGCTTGCACATCCATCTCTTCCAGATTCCCCAACACATTGGAGAGTAATCCAAGACCGCATAGGCATGCTAAGTTCCTGCATGCCGTGAATAACATCAGGATGAATTCTAGGTCAGAACTGCCATAGTCGACCATGATCTGTGTGCCCTCTCTAGCAAGCCCCAAGAGCGAATATACTCGGTCACGAGGGGTTTGACACTCTTGGTATGGCAATCTTAGAAGCAACCACGAGAGCGAATCTCTGGGTCTCGTGCGATGTTGTTGTGCTATGTTGATTTGAACAGGAAACATTACCTCGGCATTCGTGATTGCAAACCATGGTTGTCTGGCAATACCTTGGAGGTCGAAGATCTCCACGACGTCTGCCAAAAGACTGAGTGATCTGCTGTGTGCAACTTCCTGCGTGATCCAGGCCCGAGTCCAATATGCATGTTTCGCCAATTGGACCCAGCCAGCTTCGATCGAGCCATGCTCGACCAAGCCATTCTCGACCCACTCCGCCTCAACCTTTCTCAGTTCCCCCTCTGCACTGATCGACGAAGATACTTGGTTCTTTGACTTGCAGCGCTGGTTCCAAGCGCGGAAGAAATCAGCGATGTTGCTGCTGCTGCCCAGCCAAACGAGGACATGAGCTGCCGCAGTATATATAGCCCCCATCTGGGCGACCTGGTGGTTCCTCTCGGCCACGGTACCTTGATCGATACAAACAGCGTCTATCCAGAAGGGCCTTAAAGGATATAGCCTCCGCACGACATGCATGAAGTTGTGCAGATTTTGTCGGACGAAGAAGAGTTGGCCATTCATGAGGGCTGGACATGTCGTATTTTCGTCTCCCCAGGTATATGACAAACACGTGTAATCATCGTCAGTAGTCCCGTGCGTGAGCGTGCACTGCACAGAACCTTCTGGCGACAAGTCCGGTAGTACTTTCATGATTCGGATGGACGGCTGCGTGTGATC